TAAGACTTCAACAGCTGTGGGTTCTAGGAATGACTTTATTTTAGGTACTATCTACGTAGCTCAGGGTCGTAAATATCCAATAATAGTGTTAGACGAATATATGTACTGTAGACACAGCATGAAACCAGAATTCACAAGATGGCGTTGCGCGTTGTCCAACAAGCTGAAATGCCGAGCGGCGTTGATCACGTATGGAAAGACTGTACAGGTGGTACGCGGGCACAACCACGCACCTGAGAAGAAAACCAAAGAGGATGCACCACTTATACCTCAGCGAGTAACCATTTTCAGGAAAAAATGAATCCGTTGTACTGTTTTGAACAATAAAGTCAAGTCGGAATAAGGAAACGATCACTACAAAAGCGTATGACAGTTTAAGGTCTCAAAGTTTGATAGCTACTCGTCATTATTCAAAATTCCGCCAGAATTGTCAGCCTCTAGCGGTCACATTGCTGACTGGATTACAACCTATAGCTGATATACACTCTCCCAGTGGTCGATTCTGGTGATAGATGACGCTTTGTGCTGTATTCTTTTGATAAATCTCATACCTCTAATAGATCAATGATCTAGTTTGACTGACCTGAGACAGAAAAAATAGGTATTTGTAGCTAAAGGACATATCGATGGAATGTATATCCTTTTTTCAAAATTATACCTCCCAGGTAAGTAAAGTGACACTGTTATTTTCAATAAAATGCTCGGCAGGGTTTTTACGTAAAAAACCTATATAATGTTAAAATATCGATAAAACGTCAACTTCCTTCTAGTGTCCAAATAGTTCATTAAGCTCTTGCTCGCTGTGAAGGCTGTGAGCGTCACCCACAGCGCCACCTATGGAGGAATGACTCAACGACCACGTTGCAAGTCAGTTTGCCAGCATGCTTTGTTGGTTGCAGAACTCCAAGGTAGTCTGTAGAGTATGTTTAAGTCTGTAAAAATATTTCACGACGGCCTATCAACAAAAAAAACAACCAAATAACATTGGATGATGACCGCAAAAGCATTTCGCATTCCATTAAATCCTTAGTATTTTTTCTGATCACAAGTCGTTTTTGTTCTCCACATGTCCCATCGAGAACTTCAACGGTACTAACCGCCTCCTTCCAGGTACGATCTACATCAGCTGCGGTCGAAAATACCCGAAACTAGTCCTAGACAACAACCACTACTGCTTGTTATCACAAGCGAAAGACCACACGAAATGGCGATGTCTCTTTTACTACAAAACCAAATGCCGAGCGTCTCTGAGTACGTACAGCAACGTAGTGCGCGTCACGTATTGTCACAATCACTTCACTGAAAGAATGTCGGAAGAAAAGAAAAAGGCGCTGATTCCGAAGAGAGTGAAGATTGTTAGGTTATTCCAAGATCAGAGTTAAGATGATTTCGTGAACGAAAAATGTACTAAGTGACATAGAAAAAAGAACGCCCAGTAATAATAAATTATTACTACAATTTTTTGTATATATTATACCTCCACCTATAGAATCATATACCTAGGTAATCTTTCTGATAAATTCATTATTACTGGTTTTTTTAATGTAGTAGCATTGATTACCGTATTCTACTTGAAGACAATACTTTAACTTTTTGTCTTTCGAATTTTTTGTTTAAACTTTTTTTATTCTCACTTCACGATTCCAAAATCGTTCCAATCACCTTCCGGCCCAGAAACAATGCTGGAATGGGGGCCAATCATCGCTCGCGTATGAAAGTATTAACCGGATAGTTCTGGTACGATGCCAAGACTCAAGGTTGGAAAAAATGTATATAAAACCTAATCCGGTCCTGCTTATCTCGATCAGATTGAACGAGAACACGTACGGTATGTATGCGTACTCAATCCAGGCGCGCTGGTCGCGTTGGTAAACAAACCGAAGTGCTACCGACGCTTCCCGAGTACATCCAGATCGTTTTTGAAGATCGTTAGCATTAGGTTGACTGTCCTCAAGTAGAATGAGTTAATCAGTGGTAGTAACTTGTTGTCGTAGGCGTGAAAATCAAAAGACTGCATTAGTGGTCGAAATTATACAGAGTGGTTGAAAATAGTATTTATGAATAATATTGGCTAAGAAAGGAAAGTCCATCTTTTACTACTTACTTATATAGCTTTATATTTCGTATCATTTTTTGTGATTTCAGATGCTCGAACAGCGTTTTCTAATGAATTGTATGGTTGGAACCAAAATAACACCATTTTGAATCACTCTATAGTGTAAAAAGTTCCTCAATAATTCGTTGTTTTTCAAAATCTGATGAAAATGGTCCTATTTGGAACGGGATATCGCATCTATAATTATTTGTAACTCCTATTTTTAGGCAGCAATAATCTCTATAACCGATAATTGATATAAAATTTAAATTTTTTATTGTGTTAGTATGTGCCTTGTATATTACTTTAAACGAATGGATGCATCATGCCTTCAGCTTTTTTTGATACATGTATATCAAAACAGTTTATTAAAACGATATAGAATGAAATAATAACCATATAAGTATATCGCCTTTTCTAAACTTTCATCATTCTTTGCATCTACCAAAGCGTAATATTATTTTTAATGTAAGGCGTATCGAATAAAAATTTAGCAGTCTCGTCTTGTTTTTTTTTCACAAATAAAGCCTTAAGTTACGTTTATATTAGAACAAATGACACGATAAGCGCGATTTTCAACTCTGAAAATAATCCAACTTTCAAGTCGATTGCATCTATAAAATGTTCGCTTTTGAATATTTCAGAAAATATGAATTTTGAACTTTCAACATTTTTCTTTTTATTTTAGCTCAAAGTTCGCAATTTTCGTCCAAAATTTCTCCACTTTAATTAAAATTAATTTTATTTTAAGAGAAATCAGTACTATTAATGTGTGGCAAAATAGGCAGGTGAAATTCCGTACGCTCCCTTAAATATTAACACTCGATTAGGAAACACCCTGTATTTGCCACAGAACGAGGCAATACAAAATATAAATTTCGAAGACGTTGGTTCCGAATTTGCAGTCATTTTAAATGATAGAACACACCTCTACTTGTATTTGATTTAGATAAAATAGTACACAGCGTTTTTTACATTTTTTGCTCTTAATTTTTGTACCCGCCACATGTGCCTTAATATCTTGGAAGCGTATGCTGAGTTCAATAAAATTGTATTTTGCTATAATTTTCAGAAAATTGATGTGCAACTGATAACGCTTATGTTTTTGATTAGCAGTGATATATAAACTCTAAAAGAAGTGCATTTATTTTAAGCTGATGCAGATTTCATGTTTTCTACACAGGTAGAATAATTACAATTGCGATTTTTTTTAGCTGGCAAGGAGACTTGCCAACGATGAACTTCAATTGTATTAAAGACCGTGTACTTATTTCTAATTCGCCCTGGATATCCTTATCTTGTATTAAGCAGTGACTGTAGGCAATTTTAGTGATCGTGAGCTACATCATGAGCCAACGAAAAATCCCGTATATGATCCTGAACAACTACAAGTACGTAAAACATAGGAGCTCCCAAAGGTCGACGTATTGGAAATGTCAGCGATACGACGGAGGTATGTGCAAAGCAAGATGCACTACCCATGTCGACCAGACCATCAAAATAACGTCGCAACATTGCCACGGTCCTCATGTGGATAATTTGAATGCTTTAGCGATTATCAGCAAAGAAGTGTATACTGTCGTAAAATAGATCACGTTTGATTAATGCCCGTACGCATAATGAACTATACTTATAAAGTTTGAGCTAGCTCAAGATTGTTTAAATTGCATAATTCGATTGTTTGTCAAGTTGTTGAGTTATTGCTTACTGTTTGGGCGTTAATACAGGCGTTATTTGCATGTCTATCTTTCACTATGAGCATAGTATTCAGGGTGTCAGCAAAGTTGGGGTTTTCCTTTACACGACGGTAGATCTTGAAAACATAAGCAATTTTTACCATTTGTACCATATACACCAATGTCTTAAGGGAACCGAGATAAAGGGCTGTGCAACATCAAAAATATCTGAATACCGTCCTGTAGCCGCGACCCGCCGCGATATCCCAGACTGGTACCGGCTACTAGCTGAACCCGACGACAGAACTGGGTCGGGGGTCCGGGTCAGTGTGTCAGGTCATTATGCAACCTTCAACCGACGGTAAAGGGTCACGCGTATAGAGATAACGAACCCGTATGATCGATTGCGTTTCAAAAAAAAAAAATAATGGCACACGAACTTCGTCTCAGAATTGAACAAGCTGGTGCTTTCATTGGGGGAGGGACTCCATTCTCAAAGCCTGCACCGATGCTTGGCTACGTCGTGCACGCACCTGTGTTTTTGAATCAAACGGCGATATCTTCGAACAATACCTATAAAGTACGTTTACCTAAAAACTGAAAACGCGGCAACGCCGTCTTATTTGTTTGGTCTGCACCACCGCCGGCGTCTGCTCGGTAGCGCATGAGCTGATTTCATTTTCTGTTGGAGCGGTATGATTTCAGGCAGAGACGTACTTAGCCCTTCTCGTCAACTGGAGAGAGAGTACTTTTTCCTTTATTTTTTTTCTACTTGGTCGCCCTCGTTTCACTACACATTACCTTTGTTATTTCAAGGGTAGTTGTTTCTGAAAAGGAAAACCCCAACTTTGCGGACACCCTGTATATATTATAGTTGTTAAATGGATATAATTTAACAATTATATCTAGCAAAATTAAAATAAATTTCGAAAGCCCAAGTTAAAAATGTGATAGAGCTAATGATATGAGTTTTACTACGAGCATATGTAAATAAAAAATCCGCTATGTGCATTTCCTGATATTCTCTCGCCAGGTGAAATCAGATTTCGCTAAAATCTAGTTGGAAATGTTTCTTGTTAAGCTAGTTGTACGATAATTTGGAGAGTATTATTAATATTTAATATATGTACAGTTTATTAATGGGTACACCATGTATTTGATCAAATTCTGCTTTCACTGCTGTCTAAAATAAAGTATTCTTGTGAATGGCAATACTTCTGTAACAAATCTGAGTCTTCTGATGAACCTTATTTACATTCGACTGGATTTGGGAGCTAAAGATACTATCTCACAGCATGTCAATTGATTGCTTAGCTATCGTGTAAGCGTTGTAAAAAGCATTATCGTAATATTGTCGTAGATTTTAGGGTGTCGGTGTTATCATCCCTGAACGGTCTCCAATATACCACCTACCAGATACTGAATATAGTGAAGGAGATCCTGAAATCCAGCAGTGACATATCGTTCGAAATGTTGACCGTACCTGAAAATCTACCAAACTTTCCGCTTAACTCGTACGAAGAATATCTGCGATTCAATGATCTTATTAAGGAGGACACTCACATTTCTCAATATATGGTAAGTACTCCAAATTAAGTGCTTTCACTCAACTTTGGAAAGAGAATTTTCGAATGTTGAATGAAAGTTCTATGTTGTTAAAATTGCTCCTAACATGTATCTGGTCGTCCAAATTTCCGTTTTCGTGTTCCGTACTTGAACCGCCTGCCAAAAGAACGTCCAACCACCGATGTACCAATATTTGCAACAGAAACGACCTGAATACGGTCCTGTACATGTTACTTTGACATTAAGCTACTGGGAGGCGCATGCGCAATGCGCAGTTAGCACAACTTGCCTCAACCGCCAGGGTTGCCAGGCGTGGCGATTTTTCGCCAAAGTGGCGTGTAATCCATTTTTGCCGATGTAATAATAACAATAATAAATCGCCTTTATTTAGGGGCGAAGTTTAGCATAATGCTACTCTGCCACCCCCCCGAAAAAAATAATACAAAAAACATAAATATATTTTTTTAAATTTTCAACTTTTCATATTTTTCCCTGAATACGGATCCCAATCCGGCAACACCGCACGCAAGCGCCTCTCATATATGACATATGCACAGACGTCAGCGTATATGGTAGATGGCGGTGGAAATAATGATGGAAAGAACAGCTAAAAATACAATGTTTTGGGAAAAACTTTTCATGAAAAGCGTGCTTCATCGACACTTTTTTTGTTTCTGAATAATCTATCAGACGACCCTATAAAAGTTTTAAGAGCAAAAACAGCGAAATCGGGAAGTTACAAGACGCAACAACACACATTTTATCTTAAAACCACCTAAAGAATTATCCTGTCAAATATTCTACGCTTATTAAGAAACATCCTTTTTTCCAGGTGCGGAGATTGGCAGCGTTGGGAGGTTCGGGAATCGATAGTATCACACGTAGAATAATGAGATTTTTGTTCGATAACGAATTAGCCACCCAGTTCAATTGGAAAGGAAGACATAACAAGACCGGTTTTGAAGGGACTGCCATAATGGGTCTTGTTTATGGTTAGTAAATCCATCATTACTTCTCTTAGGTGGTTGATACGCAAAACCAGAACTGGCCCTGTGTAAATTCAGAGTTGGGACAAATTATACCAATGAGAAGGCGTCTTTGAAGTAATTGATCTAAGGAATCTGGTCAATTTTTTTAATGTCTCACAAACTAGAGAAACTAACTAACTTCTGTAAAGAAATATTGTTCTTCCCATGCTTCAGTCTTGATCCTCTTACTACTGCTCATAATGGTTTTAATTGCAGGCCAACTCTAACCCAACCTGCATATTTGTTCCGTTCAAAGTAATCAAGATCGTTCTCGAACAGATCGCTCACCGCAGTGTTGCCGTTGCTTGTGTTTATTATGTGAATTTACGGAAGTTGCTATGATTCTTACGCCTTTTTAAGATATGTTTTTACCACCACTGGAATTCTGATATTTTTAGAAGCGGCGAAGCTAAACTGCCCATCGAACGAGAAGAGTGATTCGAAGATAGCTGATATCGTGAAGATTTGGTTGAAACACGCCAGCTCGAGGGTCAAACAGTCCAAATCGAAGGTTCCAGGATGATCCGATTCACTAAGTTGAACAGTTTTGAGAATTATTTTTTCTGTACAAAGCATTATGTGACCTCGGTGAAGTTGAAATTTCATCTTGGTGGATCTGTCAATAAAGTTTACAAAGCTTAAGTTTTTTATTCTCTAACTTTAGTAGTGATGCCTACTGGAAAATGGCTTCAAATAGATTGTCTCTATACTTCCAACAACTTCCAGTACAATTATCCATGCAGTGTACCATCTACATAATAGTTATCAGAAAAATATAAAAAAAAATCTCATTTCGGACACCTCGCCAAAAACTGTGTCAACGACGGAGTGACGCTTCTCTTCTATAGTCGATATTATTTCGACATTGCCTAGATGCTGCACCCCGTGATGTTTAGTTACCCTTACCACCATTGTATATTGAATATCCCAACTTTAAGAACCAAAAAATGATCATTTGATCGTAACGTAGTTGTTCCAGGATACTTCGAGTATCCGAAATTCTCGACGACCACGAGAGGGCGCAAATGTCTGATCCTCTCCAACTACGTGTTCTACGTGAACCAAGTGACGAACAGCAGATGCTTCTGGATGTGCCGCAGCTACTACCACACCAAGTGCAAAGCGCGATGCGTGACGACGGTCGATGATCAACTTTATCGAGTCAGCAAGAATCATAATCATCCGCCAGATTGTGACGGCGCTCAACCGATGCTTACGAAGACAAACGCCTTTCAGTAGATGATCAGTTTTATATGGTTTCGAGATGTGCCACAATGTATTATCGGATATATTTCAGACACCTCGCAAAAAACTGGGTCAATGACGGAGTGACGCTTCTCTTCTATAGTCCTATTATTTCGACGTTGCCTAGACGCTGCTCCTTTTAGAGGCCAAAAAATGTAAAAGATTTGTGCAAGTTTGGCGTTTATTTACTAGAAATAGAACAATACTACTTGCAATAAAAAAGGACATACTTATACTCGGTGATTTACTTTGATCTTACACTTTATCCGTTTATTTTGTCTTTTTTACAGAAAATATTATTTGTTATTCTACTTTATCTTTGACGTAGCTTTAGACAGGAAACTGTGACTGTTAAATTTCACTGTTTGAAGGCTGATTGTAGCATAATAAAAATTATATATATTTTGCGGTTTCTGTTTTATTACCATCTACAAAATAGTTATCAGAAAAATATAAAAAAATCAAAGTCTCATATCGGACACCTCGCCAAAAACTGTGTTAACGACGGAGTGACGCTTCTCTTCTATAGTCGATATAATTTCGACATTGCCTAGATGCTGCTCCTCTTAAAGGCCAGAAAGTGTAACTGTGCAAGTTGGATCGCTCATTTTTAAACCTGTTTATTTCAGCTAACTACACTTAAAGAATTGGTAAGGCACGTGGGAACCTCTCGATGCAACTATTTTTTTTTTCTCCAAAACTATCTGAGATAGCCTTTTTTATGAGAGACAAAAAATGAAATAAACAAAAAGATCTGCAACATGCTCCTATATGCAGATAAAATCGCCCCCACCTCGTATGTGCGCCGCCGCCGTCTGCTACCTGCTTTTATAAGTCCCTAGGTCTCACTACTAAAGACTCAATATTTACAACCCCGTGGCGGTTATGGTGACCGATTAGTACGCGATCCCTTTGCTAAAAGCACAAACAGCAAGTTGTCGTTTATTTACTAATTCAGTGATAATGGCGGATTTTCTTTTTGAAGTTTATTTTACTAGAAATAGGACAAGACTACTTGAAACCGAAAAGGACATACTTTTACTCGGTAATCTACTTTGATCTTACATTTTATCAGTTTATTTTGTCTTTTTTACAGAAAATACATTTTATTTGTCATTCTACTTTATCTTTGATGTAGCGTTAGACAAGAAGCTATGGCTCTTTAATTTCATTGTCTAAAGGCTGATTGTAGCATGATAAAAATTATATATACAGGGTGACTTCGAAGTTGAGTCATTTATTTTAACAGTGAGTAAATCTGATCAAAAGAAATGTTTTTTTCCTTTAACATTTTTCTGGTAAAATTAAAGTAACAAAGTTATAGCCCTTTGGAAGTTTGAGTACCGCCCTGTCTCAATAATAATATCATGTGCTCGTGTTTGGCAACAACGGATATAATCCGCCTTATCGGTTCATCGCATCGGAAACAAAAAAGCGAAAGAATTTGGAACGATGTTTTTACAATTATTTTATTCAGTTCAGTTATACATACAGTAAGTGTCAGTCGGTAACGCGTGTGAATAGTGTCTGTTGCGTGGCTTAAACGAAATAAAAAATGGCACATGTTTATGCGGATCGGTTTCCCAATCGAGTGCAACCAACCCCTCGTGCCTTTGTTAATGTAGTACAACGGGCTCGTGAATCAGGTGACTTAAGACCTCACAAGGGACCTCACGATCAAATACAGGTCTGCACTGAAATACTTGTCGGGAGGATACTTTATAAAACAAGGTAAAAAAAATTTTATAATTTTTTTTTTATTTTTACACACATATTTTGGTTTATCTTCCTTCTACAATCATTATCTGAAAATTAATGACTCAACTTCAAAGTCACCCTGTATTTTGCGGTTTTTGTTTTATTACCATCTACATAAAAATGATCAGAAAAATACTAAAGAAATCTAAGCCTCATTTCAGACACATCGCCAAAAACTGTGTCAACGACGGAGTGACGCTTCTCTTCTATAGTCCATATTATTTCGACATCGCCTAGATGCTGCTCCTCTTAGAGGCTAAAATATGTCAAAGGTCAAACAATCATAATCATCCGCCACATTGTGACGGTGCTCAAACGATGCTTACGAAGAAAAACGCCTTTCAGTAGATGATCAGTTTTATATGGTTTCAAGATGTGCCACAATGTATTATCGAATATGTGGAAGGAAAATAAAAAGAAATCGTACCGAAGTGAAATTTACTTCAACCTACAATGTCAGTGGTCGACAACCTTTTCAGTGTGCTGAGCTACTTTGATAATTTTGGAATAAACAACGAGCTACCTGGTCGCAAGCAATGTAAGCCAACTTAAATGAAATTATACACAGTTGTGCGATCGACGGGTTGGAGACCACTGGTTTATGTTTACCCAGCGAGAAAATGCAAGGCACAGGAATAGCTTTCAAGCTTTCTCGCGTGACTATGCAGTATGGTGTTAAATACCGCACAGGAGTGAAATCCACCAAAGCCACTTTGACTTGCCTGTATGCAGATGCGCGCTGAATGTGAGTACTTTTCGCACGTTGGTGGAAAAAAATCTTATACCCCAACACTTGCGGAAAGTGTACTTTCCGCCCTTGTTACGTAAATAACTATTATGTTTTCCATTAGCTCTGTATCAGATGCGTTTTCTATTTCGAAAAAAAATATGAATGTTCCCGAAGGCTGAGGATCACAAGCCACACAGATGAATTTATTTGATCAGAAAGGACATAAGGCACTCATCACAACATTACATCGCCCTAAAATTTAGATCCTACCTATCTAAAACGTTTCCCATCTTGGTATCGTTTCTTCTGCAGATAATACATTGAATATCCTGTTTCTACGTATTTTTACTGGTTACCAACGTCGTTTCCTTTTAATCCTCATACTGCTTCTCTTATTTAAAGAATCTCTGTCTAAGCAGAAAAATTGCACTCGCGTCCTTTTTCCGAGAAAACTTACCACACTTTGAAACGGCGGTACAATGATGAATATCTATAATTTTCTGTTCAAATATAATAATTATTTAAAAATATAAAATGGTCATTAATGAGATTCGACGACTACAAAGAAAAAATGTATGATGTACCTCAAAGAAAGGTAAAGGCTACTAATTTGTACAACTTAGAAGTATGTAATGAATAAATAATAGTCAATCAGCAAGAAATCTTCTACAATTTTAGACTCGTGCCAGGTCCGTAATAGAAGCGCAATGCCAATCGCAATATAATAATTTTCACTTTCAGTTGATAATTCTATATAAAATAAGACTAAAACTAATCATCATCATCTAAAGGGATACTGGTAGTCTTACTTTGACCCACCGAGAACGTTTCATAGCTAAGAATATACAGCGTGTCCCAAAAGTCATGAAGCAAACGAAAGGGGATGACAGGAGGTCACTTGCAACCAGAAAAACTATACGTCCTCATCCGATTATGCACAGTTTTTGAATTATTTTGTGGAAAGTCGCTACTTGAGACTGTACTATTTTTTTCTGAAGTTGTCTTTTTTTTAAGTTTACAAAAATCCCTGCGGACGGGTGATTTCTTAGAGCAAACTTCCGCTCGACTCGCCGTAGGTTATTATTATGTCCACTAGTTGATTGTTTTCGTAAACGTGGGCTATTTTTTCGCACAAAATAATCAGACAAATTAAAGTATACGCACTATTAAAAGAATTATATAACTGATCGAACCGAATACTCGTACTGCAAAAAGTTTGCCAAATAAATAACTCAACTACGGACCTGTATAAACTAGAGAAAACCCTGAGGAGGGGATATCTAAGCATATAAATTGATACTGCATAAATTACACCATACGGTACTTAAAAAAATGTACCCGAACATGTTAAGATACATCTTTTTCATTTTAAAATTCAATGGTTGCAATCCAACAAAGGGCTACAGAATATCCGAAATTCTACTGTTTTCAGTCGCGATTTTTTGCAGCTTGTACTTTAACGTAACTGTCGTCGTATATTTTATTATGAAGAAGGAGCCAATAGACGTAGCCGAACTTTTGGATGCTTTTTCAGGCATCTTTTTTGTCACTGAGGTAAGATTTGTAGGATCAAGTTGAAAATGTAGCTTTGCAGATGGGTTTTTAAATATGGTGAATGTGTCGATGTGCACTTACCAGCCCGTTCACCATTTTTTCAAAAAAGTAATCCTATAGTTCAAGAACAATCAAATGCTCAAACTTTTTAGAAATCATAATTGGCGTTGTATTTTATATAATTACTAGACACATTTTGGAGTAAGTAAAAGCCAAGGAGCCAATAAAAGTAGCCGAACTTTTGGATGCTTTTTCAGAGATCTTTTTTGTCAGTGAGGTAAGATTTGTAGGATCAAGTTGAAAATGTAGCTTTGCAGATGGGTTTTTAAATATGGTGAATGTGTCGATGTGCACTTACCAGCGCGTTCACCATTTTTTCAAAAAAGTAATCCTATAGTTTAAGAACAATCAAATGCTAAAACTTTTTAGAAATCATAATTGGCGTTGTATTTTATATAATTACTAGACACATTTTGGAGTAAGTAAAAGCCAAGAAGCCAATAGAAGTAGCCGAACTTTTGGATGCTTTTTCAGGGATCTTTTTTGTCAGTGCGGTAAGATTTGTAGGATCAAGTTGAAAATGTAGCTTTGCAGATGGGTTTTTAAATATGGTGAATGTGTCGATGTGCACTTACCAGCGCGTTCACCATTTTTTCAAAAAAGTAATCCTATAGTTTAAGAACAATCAAATGCTAAAACTTTTTAGAAATCATAATTGGCGTTGTATTTTATATAATTACTAGACACATTTTGGAGTAAGTAAAAGCCAAGAAGCCAATAGAAGTAGCCGAACTTTTGGATGCTTTTTCAGGGATCTTTTTTGTCAGTGCGGTAAGATTTGTAGGATCAAGTTGAAAATGTAGCTTTGCAGATGGGTTTTTAAATATGGTGAATGTGTCGATGTGCACTTACCAGCGAGTTCACCATTTTTTCAAAAAAGTAATCGTATAGTTTAAGAACAATCGAATGCTAAAACTTTTTAGAAATCATAATTGGCGTTGTATTTTATATAATTACTACACACTTTTTGGAATAAGTAAAAGCCAAGGAGCCAATAGAAGTAGCCGAACTTTTGGATGCTTTTTCATGGATCTTTTTTGTCAGTGCGGTAAGATTTGTAGGATCAAGTTGAAAATGTAGCTTTGCAGATGGGTTTTTAAATATGGTGAATGTGTCGATGTGCACTTACCAGCGAGTTCACCATTTTTTCAAAAAAGTAATCCTATAGTTTAAGATCAATCAAATGCTAAAACTTTTTACAAATCATAATTGGCGTTGTATTTTATATAATTACTAGACACATTTTGGAGTAAGTAAAAGCCAAGGAGCCAATAGAAGTAGCCGAACTTTTGGATGCTTTTTCAGGGATCTTTTTTGTCACTGAGGTAAGATTTGTAGGATCAAGTTGAAAATGTAGCTTTGCAGATGGGTTTTTAAATATGGTGAATGTGTCGATGTGCACTTGCCAGCACTTTCACCATTTTTTCCAAAAAAGTAATCGTATAGTTTAAGAACAATCGAATGCTAAAACTTTTTAGAAATCATAATTGGCGTTGTATTTTATATAATTACTACATACTTTTTGGAATAAGTAAAAGCCAAGGAGCCAATAGAAGTAGCCGAACTTTTGGATGCTTTTTCAGGGATCTTTTTTGTCAGTAAGGTAAGATTTGTAGGATCAAGTTGAAAATGTAGCTTTGCAGATGGGTTTTTAAATATGGTGAATGTGTCGATGTGCACTTACCAGCACCTTCACCATTTTTTCAAAAAGTAATCGTATAGTTTAAGAACAATCAATGCTCAAACTTTTTAGAAATCATAATTGGCGTTGTATTTTATATAATTACTAGACACATTTTGGAGTAAGTAAAAGCCAAGGAGCCAATAGAAGTAGCCGAACTTTTGGATGCGTTTTCAGGGATCTTTTTTGTCAGTGCGGTAAGATTTGTAGGATCAAGTTGAAAATGTAGCTTTGCAGATGGGTTTTTAAATATGGTGAATGTGTCGATGTGCACTTACCAGTGCGTTCACCATTTTTTCAAAAAAAGTAATCCTATAGTTTAAGAACAATCAAATGTTAAAACTTTTTAGAAATCATAATTGGCGTTGTATTTTATATAATTACTAGACACATTTTGGAGTAAGTAAAAGCCAAGGAGCCAACAGAAGTAGCCGAACTTTTGGATGCTTTTTCAGGGATCTTTTTTGTCAGTGAGGTGAGATTTGTAGGATCAAGTTGAAAATGTAGCTTTGCAGATGGGTTTTTAAATATGGTGAATGTGTCGATGTGCACTTACCAGCGCGGTCACCATTTTTTCAAAAAAGTAATCCTATAGTTTAAGAACAATCAAATGCTCAAACTTTTTAGAAATCATAATTGGCGTTGTATTTTATATAATTACTAGACACATTTTGGAGTAAGTAAAAGCCAAGGAGCCAATAGAAGTAGCCGAACTTTTGGATGCTTTTTCAGGGATCTTTTTTGTCAGTGCGGTAAGATTTGTAGGATCAAGTTGAAAATGAAGCTTTGAAGATGGGTTTTTAAATATGGTGAATGTGTCGATGTGCACTTACCAGCACGTTCACCATTTTTTCAAAAAAGTAATCCTATAGTTTAAGAACAATCAAATGCTAAAACTTTTTAGAAATCATAATTGGCGTCGTATTTTATATAATTACTAGACACATTTTGGAGTAAGTAAAAGCCAAGGAGCCAATAGAAGTCGCCGAACTTTTGGATGCTTTTTCAGGGATCTTTTTTGCCAGTGAGGTGAGATTTGTAGGATCAAGTTGAAAATGTAGCTTTACAGATGGGTTTTTAAATATGGTGAATGTGTCGATGTGCACTTACCAGCGCGATCACCATTTTTTCAAAAAAGTAATCCTATAGTTTAAGAACAATCAGATGCTAAAACTTTTTAGAAATCATAATTGGCGTTTTATATTATATAATTACTAGAGTAAGTAAAAGCCAAGGAGCCAATAGAAGTAGCCGAAATTTTGGATGTTTTTTCAGGGATCTTTTTTATCAGTGAGGTGAGATTTGTAGGATCAAGTTGAAACTATAGCTTTGCAGATGGGTTTTTAAATATGGTGTATGTGTCGATGTGCACTTACCAGCCGTTCACCATTTTTTTAAAAAGTAATCGTATAGTTTAAGAACAATCAAATGCTCAAACTTTTTAGAAATCATAATTGGCGTTGTATTTCATATAATTACTAGACACATTTTGGAGTAAGTAAAAGCCAAGAAGCCAATAGAAGTAGCCGAACTTTTGGATGCTTTTTCAGGGATCTTTTTTGTTTGAGGTGAGATTTGTAGGATCAAGTTGAAAATGTAGCTTTGCAGATGGGTTTTTAAATATGGTGAATGTGTCGATTTGCACTTACCAGCGCATTCACCATTTTTCCAAAAAAAAAGTAATCCTATAGTTTAAGAACAATCAAATGCTAAAACTTTTTAGAAATCATAATTGGCGTTGTATTTTATATAATTGCTAGACACATTTCGGAGTAAGTAAAAGCCTCACTGCATCTTGCATTTAAATACTACTAATCTACGGCTGTAGAGTAATATAGAGCGACACCATCGTGAAAAACTAATCGATAAATAAGCAAATTATGCGAATGTCCTTTAAACATGCTTCTAACGAATTGAAGCAATCGACATGTTATAAACTGTCATTTTCAAAGCCAACTATGAAAATTTCAGTTAAAAATCGAATGTGACATTTATAAGAAAAGATAAAGTTAATTATGCTACCTCGTAGAGGTCTCTGAAAACATCAAATTCTAGGCTGGTGGGAAAATGACATCCCTGTTCGTCCTCAAAAGCCGTATGAACATTTTCTTCCGTCAAATGCAAAATATGTTCTGGGAGCCTAAACGAGACGAAAAAGGACGAGACAAAGGGGAGATGGCAGCCTTAAATAAGGTCGTAGACACGACGGCGTTTTGGTATTTATTTGTTTCGTCGTGTTCTTTGGTCACGAATCTTTGCATTCCCATCTTCAGTGAAGGAGACAAACTTATATACGAGGTAAGAATAAGAGAAGAACACATCGATAGCGTCCTTTAACCTCTGTAAAAAATAGTACGTCATTGGTTTTTGCAAAGGCGCAACATTTTTGGAATAAAAATTGTTGCGGTTAAATGTAAAAAAAATTATATGTTATTTAGATCTCTTTTTCATATTCAAATTAAAAACACATTAAGAAAACTTCAAAAAAATAGATAGACAATATCAAAATTACGAAACTAGAGGCGGCATAGATTTTCATCTGCAAAATTGTAATAGTAGCATAACTACCAAAAGGGAGTATTTGAATTTAATCAATTGGATAATGATTATTAAACATTGTTCGAATTTAAAAATGTATCAGGTAAAATTAAAAAATGACTTGATGAATACCCAGAATGATGTAATTTTAATAGACAAGGATACAAAATTACAGAAAATCAATTCAAAAAATGTGTAAACGATTAATTATACAAAATTGACATTGAAGCGTTAATGATAAATCATCAACAAGGAAACAAACAAAATTGTCCAGTACATCAATCTATTTATCGTCATTAAAAGACAGTCATCGAGCTGGCACTTTTTCCAATAAACAGAATGAAAAAACTGCGAGAATCACTTTTCTGGCAGGATCATAGCGGCTTTAAAAAAATGACGTCGAGTAGGTTGACTCTGCACTTTCTACCCGAATCCGTTATCAGTTCATAAAGCATAATGAAAAAGTTTTGGAAATATTTCTGATATGACAGATCCAATTTCGAAACGAATAGGTTTAGAATCATGGAAATACAGGGTGTTACTTAATGATATGCGAATATTTGAGGGTGTGAATCTACGTAAAAAGTTAATGTTAGTTTGCTCTATAAACTATGGTCCAAAAATGTTTCCTTACAAAAGCTCGGGGTGTTGAAGTTTTAGGAAAACAATGGAAATTAATTAATATTTTCAGAACCGCTTGAGATATTTCACTGATATTGAGTGCGTAGTGAAAGTTAATAAAGTTGCATATTTTGCAATGCAAAAATCATTTTCAGCTTTAACAGTGACATGCATACGGGTATTGACTTTGATATTTTTTAAGAAAAAAATGATACGCCAACGGTTTTTTGCCGAATAAAAATTATTTTTGAATTCTCCGTTCAATTTAAAACAAATGACCTCTCTTGAATCGTTTTCCTTCAATGCGCCATTTTTGAGTAAAAAAATAAAAACCGTTCTATCGTCCAACTTGCAAAATTATTATTAATTTATTTGGAACAATTAAACACATTAGGAGTAATAAACAACAATAACTGACAACATAAACGAAATGATTACAAAAATTGTACGCAGGTTACTGTTAAAGCTAAAAGTTATTTTTGCATTGAAAAATATGCAACTTTATTAACTTTCACTACGGTTCTGAAAACATTAATTAATTTCCATTTTTTTCCTAAAACTTATTATCTGATATGATATTCGCATATCATTAAGGAACATATAGCACAACAAGCAGTGCTATAATAGAAAAAATAATTCAGTCGAATATAGGCGTTCCGTTGATCAACACATAACTTTACACACTGTTTTTTATACATTCTCTTGAATATTGTCTCTGTTCAAGGCTTACAGACCTCCTGGAGTAACGTACTTCTTAGCATTAGGCACTCAGGCTTTCACCGGTTTCACACACATATTCTACGGTATATTCCCGTTCGATATGCTGTTCATGATTCTGCTATCGTGCACAACGTTACAGTTTCAATTACTGAACGAAGAAATACGCACCTTGTTCGCCGCAAACCTGGATAACGAAAACGCTGTTGCTGACTTCCGGAAAAAGCTGAAGAGATGTATCGGACATTACGATTTTCTGTTGCGGTAAGTTTCTTTCGCGACAAGTGATTCAGTGATTTTTCTGTGTTGGTTCCATTTGTTGCCTAGAGTTCGCAAGAAGACATTAATCAATGCCTCCATGACTTAATGAATGTGTAGAAAACAGACGAGCTCAACACTATTAAAATTAAGGTGGCATATCTCAACTGTTTTGCGAAATTTATAGCTAAAATTTTAATCACTTTCTATTTATTGGTAGCCCTGAGACTTATAAAAGCACTCTTAGTCGGTGTTGAATTTTTTATGTCATTTAGTACATTAAGTATACTCGTCCAGGCAAGCTGTTGAAAAAAAGGAGCATGCAAGTGACATATAAATCCGAACACCCAGTTTAAATGGTTTTATTTTAATAAAATTTTGTATAAGTACTTAATGAAGCATAATAAGTAAATGATAAAAATTTCAAAATGATTGCACTGCTTTAAAGCACTTTGACCTTTAATAATGTGTGGATGCACCCTGATGTGCTACGCATTCTCCAACGCGCCTAGGCATGCTTCCGATCAGGTGGTCAATGTCCTTCTGTGGTATCTCATTCCAGGCAACCACCAACTCCTCTCGAAGTGCTTCTAGAGTCTGAGGAGGACGTTGCAAATTGAGCAATCTCCTACCCATCATATCCCACACGTGCTCAATTGGGGATAAGTCGGGCGATCTTGGTGGCCATGGTAACAATGTGACATCATTATGTTGAAAGAAGTCTATTGTGACTCTTGCAACATGTGGTCGGGCATTATCTTGTTGGAAAGTTAGATCTGCCAGGGTGTCAAGATAGGGTAAAAGATGGGGTTCTAGAACTTCGTGGATATAACGCTTCGCGTTCATGTTACCTCTGATGAAGATTCAAGGTGACCTGGAACCATAAGCTATAGCACCCCAAACCATAACTCCAACAGTGTGATGAACATGTCTTTCAACAAAAAACTGTGGATTCCTCCTTTCACCACGTCGCCTTCTAACCCTGGCACGACCATCGTGCATGCCTAAACAAAATCGAGACTCGTCACTAAAGACTGTTCCATTCCTGATCCCAGAGTGACCGTTGTCTGCACCACTCATGGCGATTACGTCGGTGTTCTCGAGTTAAATGGAGGACCCAGTGTGGCCGGTATGAAAACAAGCCAAAACTCCTCATTCGTCGGTAAACACTTCGCATGCCAATAGGTCTTCCGTGTTCTGCAAACCATTCATCTGCAATGGACCTGGTAGAGGAGAAACGGTTCCTTAAGGCCAATAATCTTAGGCGGCGATCTTCACGGTCTGTTGTTCTACGGCGGCGTCCAGTGCCCCTTGCTCTTTGCGTACGGCATTCTCGAAGCCATGCCTGACAACACCTAACCACAGTGTCTACACTTCTTTGCACTCTAACTGCAATTGCCCGAAAAGAAAGTCCAGCTTCCCGAAGTCCCACTATCAAACTCACTAAGTTGACGAAATCGTACAGGTCTCCGTACTCTAGGCATCGTAACCGATCGTAAAGGATATCAAGAACCAAAATCCGCCAACGTTGATTCTTTACTGCTGCTGAAATATTCATTTTTAGAGCGTTAGTGAATTAAAAAAAAGCAGTATAAAAACTGAAATGTCCAACTGATAAGGCTGAAAATTTTTTCACTTGTATTTACAGTAAGATAAATACATTCACCAACTTTTATTAAAATAAAACCATTTAAACTGGGTGTTCGGATTTATATGTCACTTAGTATATTTATGAAGATATTATTTGTCCAGTTTGGTGTGACTTTTTTCAAACCCCAGACTGTAACAACTGCTTCAAGTGCACGAATCAATACAGATTTAATTCTTTTTATTTTAGAAAATTTAGTGACCTGCCACTGACTGTCTATATTGAAAACTTTACCACCCTGTATCTCAAAAGTTGAGCCGTTCAGGACATACATTCATAAGACAACTTCTTGAAATAGACCTAAAATTCGAACCCTTAAACATTGGCATTCATTTAGGAAATGCCCTGTATACAACCTACCCGTGGAAAAAATTTTGATTCATAAGCACCATACCAGATGTTTTTATTCTCATCTAATCGGAACTGAATAATCGCTAGTTTCATATCTTTTATTTTCAACGATTTCAGATACACGAAAGCTATCAACGACGAGTTTTCTATCCCTTTAGCGTTCTCCTTGGTAACGATGTTCGGCTGCCATACAGTAGAAATGTACAGATTAGCCAAAGCGTAAGTGAGACTCCTCTTTAAACATTTAGTTCTTTACTAATAGCGAACTTCTAGAATGTTTACTGACGTAGTTTGTATGTGCTCTTGCTCGGTGAAACTTTTTCACCGCGCGATCGAATCTGTCGTACAACGATCACAAGAAAATACTGGAGAAGTCGTAGTCGAGTGCGAAAGGGTCCCGAGACTGTCCGTTAGAGAAGTCATCGATCAGTCCACCTCGAACATGTGAGCAGTGCTCGAGGCCAGGTCTTACACAGGGTGTTTCAATTTATTGTTGCATAACTTTAAGATTCGATAGAACTTTTAAAATTAATGCATAAAGTCTATATAAACATGGGTCGAAAAATGCGTGGCTTCCGAAATACACGGTGTTTAAATTTACTTTCTAAAATAGTTTTTTTTAAATATTTCTAACAATATTCGATGTATACCAGTGAAAATTGGTATACAAGGGTTTTTTGGTACGACAAAATGAACCGTGGGCATATTTTTACTGTAGCCGCTAGAGGGCGCTCTCTACTGTACCTGTAGTGTATTAAAATGACCGAAAAAATTTTCTTAGCGCAATTTTTTGCTTTTTGAATAAAAAAACTGATTCTTCGCACTTTTCAACATAAAAAAGCTCTCTTGTGAATTTTCGTTATAGTTAGCCGTTTTTGAGATATTTCGATGTTTAAGGTTCGATGCATTTTTAATTATTTATGATAAAATAACGTTAAAAAGTCAGTATCTCGATAATTTTTAACTGTACAGTGAGAGCGCCCTCTAGCGGCTACAGTAAAACTATGCCCACGGTTCGTTTTGTCGTACCAAAAAACCCTTGTGTACCAATTTTCACTGTTATACATCAAATATTTTTCGAAATATTTAAAAAAAAACTATTTTAAAAAGTAAATTTAAACACCCTGTATTTCGGAAGCCACGCATTTTTCGAGCCATGTTTATATAGACTTTATGCATTAATTTTATAAGTTCTATCGAATCTTAAAGTTATGCAACAATAAACTGAAACACCCATAGAGTGAGGAGGCCATGTAGCCCTAAACAAACAGCCTAGCTCTTTCCCAGCAGCTGCCGCTGTACTCCCACCAGCCGAAAAGAATTGTTCTTTTTCGACGCTTTTCAAATAAAAGTGCAACGCGTTACTTCTCCAGTGTTTTATTGTGAAACCTTTACGACTACATTTTTATTTGGTGCTTAGTATTTTTCTGATACTTTTTTACGATATATGATACATGAATTTTGCAGTAAAGCCTTTCGATTAGGCGAAATAACAGTCATTGTTTTAGGCAAAGCTTCGCGGCGGCCTTGAGATCCCTATTGTTCGTGACAGTAGGAGTGTGGATGGTATTTATGAAGTGTTTTTCAATACCAGCTCAGCGACTAACCGATGAGGTATTATTTTGATTTTAAAAAGAATATATTCATCTTCAAGGCATTTATCTCGTAAATACCAACACGGCAATAATCTGTCTACGTTATGTCCGATGCTTCGATGAAGAACATCATTCCATCCGACCACAGCGTCGTCAGCTGTCCCGTGCTTTTGGCAACTCATCAGCGTGGTCTCTGAGACAACGGACTAAAGCACAGTAATCATCCTCTAGTCACAAGGTCTATCGAAATGAGACAGCAACTAGCACCATCTATTACCGGAATTGCGAGAGCGTATAGCAGTTTTCGGTTGGAAATGTAAAGATATACGTTCGCAATCGCAAGTAGACCAGACTGTAATCCACCGATAGACTGAAATCCAGTATTCGAATACGAATCCTGAACACTGTATTTTAAATTGTATTCGAATACTCAAGCTTCGAATACAAAGGAAAAAATATTCGAATATACCTGGAGTTATTTAAATGTGAATACTTCGAATACCGGGATTTGAAGACACAGTGGGTATTCGAATATTGTGATTCAAAGGCGGTATTCAGAATCAAGAATACCGAGCGCTGACCCAAAAAAAGTATTCAGTCTAATATCAGATACACAAATGTATTCGAATAATATTCGAATACCAGCCAAGTATATTCTGAATAGGATTCAGAATAATGAGTATTCGAATACTGCCCAAGTCTGATTATAACGAACTACCAATGGAAGCATAATACAGTTGATGTTTCAGGCATCCATGGTTGGAATCAACATTTATTTCAGCCCTTGGCATAATCATCCAAAACATTCCAAACCGGTAATTATGATAATCGCTAGATGTCAAAAACTGGTGAAGATTATTCCATGCGGCCTTTTTGAGTTGAGCCTAGAGACTGGCCTCGCAGTGAGTTTTTAGGATTTTCTTATGATACTTTATGCGTCTAGTACACCTTTTTCAGGCTATCCGAGCTATGGTGTCGTATTCGATGTTTTTGAAGACAGTTGACAGCATGGCCGGTCACAAAATGTGAGCACAGCAGAACATGTTTCAAAAAAAAACTACAAATAAAAATGCTATGTAGATATGTGTTTAAATGGTTTTATTTTTTGTATTTGCAAACTAAATAGCAACAGCCGTTTCCAACTACACATCCTGCAAAAGATCAAATTCGTACGTAAAGCGGTGATTCCCGAAAAGTACCTTTTGTCTGTAATATTGGCAACCATGCATTTTTCGGGAATAATTGTACATTATAATCTGAGGCGTTTGGCATATTTTTCCATCAAAGTAGTTACTGAACTATAATTTACAAGTAGTAGAACTCTGTATAATCGACGGGTCTGAGCGTATTTCCAAAAAAAAAAGTCTGAGCTGCCAGTAAACGCGTCTGTTTCGTTTTCGATGCGCCACCCTGTATTTGCGTATGTTGTACGTTGAAATATTGATCACGATAATCCAGTTACGTTATTTTGAGGCAACATTGAATAATTAATAGTTAGGTATTACTATAATTATTGTTCTTGGAACTTGCCGTCTCTACTTCCCCAGAAAATTCTTGACCTATACGGGGTGGCCCAGAATGAGCTTAACACTATTCTCACCCTCCTCAACTAAATTTCAACTCGAAATGCGTTGCTTTTACGTTCTCACTTGAGCAAGTGCCATCGGCAGTCTCTTTTCAAGATTGTGGGTATGGCCGCTGACTGAAACTGTAGACTTGGAAACAGATGTAGAACAATTATCGCAAAATCCTTTACCTAAGAACAACGGTCACTCTGGGATCAGGAATGGAACAGTATTGTCTTTAGTGACGAGTCTCGATTTTGTTTAGGCATGCACGATGGTCGTGCCAGGGTTAGAAGGCGACGTGGTGAAAGGAGGAATCCACAGTTTTTTGTTGAAAGACATGTTCATCACACTGTTGGAGTTATGGTTTGGGGTGCTATAGCTTATGGTTCCAGGTCACCTTTAATCTTCATCAGAGGTAACATGAACGCGCAGCGTTATATCCACGAAGTTCTAGAACCCCATCTTTTACCCTATCTTGATCCAACTTTCCAACAAGATAATGCCCGACCACATGTTGCAAGAGTCACAATAGACTTCTTTCAACATAATGATGTCACATTGTTACCATGGCCACCAAGATCTCCCGACTTATCCCCAATTGAGCACGTGTGGGATATGATGGGTAGGAGATTGCTCAATTTGCAACGTCCTCCTCAGACTCTAGAAGCACTTCGAGAGGAGTTGGTGGTTGCCTGTAGACTTGGAAACAGATGTAGAACAATTATCGCAAAATACTTTACATAAGAACAAAAATGCTACGGGGTAGCAGGTTTTGATAGGTTGAGGCAGGGTCCATTTTTTTGAGATATGTGTAAGAATATCTCCAAATTCTCAGCGAGGTAAGTAATTGTCAATATACAGTTATGATTGCAAAAATATAGAGAATATTTTTGGAGCAGAAGGTACACTGATGAAAAAATTAAGGAAACAAAGAAAAATTTTAAGTTTTTTTGTTCTTGTGAATTTTTCAATATCGATAAAAAATAGTCGTATTTTGGTTCTAAGAGAAGCAAAATTAGCCGTTTTGTCATTATTTTCATTTTAACTCTTGGTTTCAAAAAAAATAGTAAATTATTATCCCTTTTTCGTTCCAGCCTAGGAGTATATGAAAGATAACCAACTACGTGTTTCAAAATGTTATAGACTAAACGATTTGAGGCTTTTAGAACCACAATATGTTCATTTTTTTACTGAAAAAAATCATAATTTTTGTTTGAAGTCTGAGAAATCATCTTATCAAAAACCTATTTTTTCCTCGTGGCATATCTCGTACAGTTATATTGTCATATCTTAATGGTAATCCAAAGAATCTAAAACTCGTTATTTTCTGATTAACTGAAAATTAATTCCTTATTCTATATTTTGATACGTAATTTTATATTCAAGTGTGCATATCTTAACCATGACTTATGTTAGACTGATACTCATTTTTAGTTCCGGGATTAACAGGAAATACAAAATAATATGTTTTCATTCTGGAGTCAAAATGACTTTAAGCTTCCGAAATTTCCATGACAGTGCGCGCTGTTACGTAGCACGTTCCACATTGGAAAGCTCATAGAATGAACTGGTGTTACGTCACTCCTTTACGCGTTCAAATTTAATGCCGTAGTCCAGTGAAAATATAATAGATTTTTTGTTATGGGGTAGTCTTTGATAATACCTCTACTATTGAGGTCATGTAGATGTTCCAGTTGGACTGAGAAAAAAATCTATAGGTTTTTGGCAACAAAAATGTAGTTTGATGAGAAAATGTCAAGCATTAGTAAAAGAAATGGCAGAACTTTGGAAATAGGCTCAAAGACTACAAAACTTCATTTGGAAGCTGAAAGAAAGTCACCTTTATCTCTACCCATGAGCGTCCGCAGGGGGAGTAGGGAAACATGTTGAATCTGGAATCAAAACGACGTCAAGCCCCGTCATGGCAAAATGTTCTCGCCGCATATGTTTAACAGTGCGCGTTGTTACGTAGCACGTTCCACATTAGAAAGGTCATAGAATGAACTGGTGTTACGTCACTGCTTTACGCGTTCAAATTTAATGCTGTAGTCCAGTGAAAATATAATAGATTTTTTGTTATGGGTTAGTGTTTGATAATACCTTTACTATTGAGGTCATGTAGATGTTCCAGTTGGACTGAGAAAAAAAATCTATAGGTTTTTGGCAACAAAAATGTAGTTTGATTTCGAGAAAATGTCAAGCATTAGTAAAAGAAATGGCAGAACTTTGGAAATAGGCCCAAAAGCTACAAAACTTCATTTGGAAGCTGAAAGAAAGTCACCTTTATCTCTACCCATGGGCGTCCGCAGGGGAAGTAGGGAAACATGTTGATTCTGGAATCTGACAAAATGTACACGCCAACTATGTTTAACACGCGTCGTTACGTAGCACGTTCCACGTTGGCCTTACCAACGTTACCATAAACAGTTGAATTCCTGTGGCATAATAACAGTAGCTTTTATTCATCTCAGCCTCGCGGATATGAAACGTCACAGGTTACAATAACTATTACAGAATAAGATGAAACAAAATTACGACAAAATCGATAGGTCATTAACAGAACAATCACATTTTCCTACCAAAAATGCTTGCACACGTTTTTTAAGCATCAGGTTTCTTGATTCCAGAATTTCAAAATAAACACAGTACTAATGTACGACGAATATGATGCAAACTGTTGCAAAAATGGGATCAGTTTAACGAAGAAAAACATATTTTCTACCAATTCTCGATTTGTCTCTCTGCTTATATACTAAGTGACATATAAATCCGAACACCCAGTTTAAATGGTTTTATTTTAATAAAATTTTATAAGTACTTAATGAAGCATAATAAGTACGTTAAATGATAAAAATTTCTAAATGATTGCACTGCTTCAAAGCCCTTTGACCTATATTTTTTCACTTGTTATTTACAGTAAGATAAATACATTCACCAACTTTTATTAAAATAAAACCATTAAAACTGGAAAACTGGGTGTAACGGATTTATATGTCACTTAGTATATTATACATTCCCCAGAGAAAAGTTGAATGAATTTTATACTTCCAATGCTATGTTCCATTCTCTAAAATGAAGTTGAACTCGTATGTTGTCTCACAAGTGAAAAGCAAACAATATACAGAAATCTTTACGTTATCGATGTAGTTTTTTCAGATGCTTTTTTAACTCGATGCTAAGTTTTTTTTTTAAATTTTCAATGTTTTATGCTAACTTTGAGACGTGCCTCAGAGATTGAACTCCTAAACTGCTTAAAGGCGAGGTTAAAATTGCTGAATCTATTTTGAAACATAGAAAATGGTACCGTGTATTTATAGGATGTGCAATGCAACACTGAAAAAAGTGACGTACAGTATTGAGCAAGGAATATTCGCACCAAAATATTTTGGTTATTCCTTTGATTAACAGAAGATAGTCCAAAAAAAGGGGTCAAAAGGATACTAGCACCATATGTGGAGGATATAAAATTAAATACAAGTAAAACGAAAGTTATATTCATTGAAAAAAAATGGCCAAATATTGGTGACGAAGATATTGAACTCGTAGAAAATTTTAAATACCTTGCTCCCGATCGTGCTCTTTTCAAAGTGAATGGAAGATACTAGAAAGAGTATACGGTTGCGTATATGCGTTAAGAAACGGTTTTACCAGACATTGGAATTTCTTGTTGAAAAAATCATATTTTGGGCGACTACCTTTTTTGACTTGGAGTGAAGACAGACGTTATCCGACTATTATACATTAAAGTGAAAATGAACATGTAATTGACAAAATATTTACAACGTATTAGTAATAACTATAATAACTAAGTAATCTTCGTACAGTCGAGCTAATTTTTTGTTGAAACAGTTCCAAATATCGCCAGAAATTTAAGGCACTATTAATGAAGATATGTCCAATAAAGTGGCCCCTAAAATACCCAAACATTAAATTTTTAGGGATTCTGCGTCCTTATAGTCTAGTCATATTAGACGAAGATACCCCTGGTTTGCGAAATAATTTTAATAAGTTTTCCCGCAAAAATTGGTGTACCCATTTTACGCGTCCATGTTCTTATCTTTTCTCTATTTGGCTCCAAAATTATTTGAACACATACCCAAAGACTTGAAACAATTTCGAAATACACATAATTTGAAAAAAAATATATCAGAATGTATACGCGAAATAGGAACACAACACATTATTGAATGATTTGTGATTTACATCCAAAAAAAAGCATAATACCTTATTTTCGAAATTGTCCGATTACTGAAAAAAGACCTTTTTGCGTGTCTAGCTAAAACTTGCAAACACCCTGTATTGGGTGCATGATAACTTCAAAGAGACACCACTATTTTCATAAAAGATGTTCTTCGATTTCCTTCACGCATCTCAAAGAGCAAAGAAGGTATATAATTTGTATAAGTCACGAGCGCACAGTGAATAAATAATCATCAATTAGACAGAAATCATTCTAAATCTAGTGTCATTGGCTGCCCCATGAAATAGAGGGGGTATCTCACGATATATAAACCATCCAGAACCAATACAAACGTCGAAAAGTTCCAAAAATGTATCCTGACATGTTGAGATACATCTTTATGGTACTAACGTTAAATGGTTGTCATCCTTTGAAAGGATACACCAAGTCTCAAATTTTTTTGTTCATGTTTTGTATGGTCTTCAGTTTGTACTTCCAAGTATCTATTATAATACACTACTTTCTGAGAGAAGAAAAAACTGTGGAGGTAGCAGAAGTTTTGGAATCTCTGTCTGGCATATTCTTTGTGGCACAGGTAGGTTCTCTGTTAGCAATGAAAAAAATATCCAAAATTCGTTTTAAGGTAATTTGACCAAATATAATAAAAAAATAATGTAGCAGTTCTCAATTACAAGATCATTTCTACGATTTCGTCTGCTTACCTACGAGATAAAATTATTTTTAGATACAATGTTTTTATTGTCAATCTTAGATTTGTAAATTGTCTTTATACAAAAATATCATTTAACATTAGGTAAAACTTAATTTTTGGAAATAAAAAATTAAGGCGGAACGTAAGACCCTTTTAACACATTTTTACTGAATGATGACGTGTATGCAAAGTTTATATTTTAGGCTGGAGGTAAGGTGATATCCTCATTTTGCCTAAAAAACCACATCAAATTCTTCCTGCATCAAATGCAAACAGTCTTTTGGGAGCCGGAAATAGATCAGAGCAAAAATGAAGATCTAGAAGCAGCAATGAATAACCTTATAAAGAGAACTGCTGTTTGGTATCTTCTAATAACATTGTCGACATTGCTCATGTTTTTGTATGTACCTCTTCTCAGCGATGAAGATAAGCTTATCTTCGAGGTAATTTATAAGAGACCTTTTTTGTTCAATATGAACTTACAGGGTGGCCCAACGGGGGGTCGCACCTCTATTTGTGACTCTCCTGGTGTATTTTGGGACTCGTCAATTTTGGTTTCAAAAAACTTAAAAATCATTAGCTTCCTATAATTGATACATCATTAAAGCTTAAACATTCGTTCTATTTTGCTGTTTTTGGATATCCACGTCACACCAGATCCACCCAAATAAAACTAGCTTCCGCTCTAATTCCTAATGGTAGATTTAAAGTCTCTATCAATTTTCAGCTTTGTGGGAAATCTTTCAAACCTAATTTTAATTTTGACTGGATCATTTCTGCTTTTTTAGGCTTACCGAATACCAGCTCTTGGTTGCTATATTGGTTTATATCTGCAAAATCATTGAAAACTTTTTAACCTTCAAAAATTTCAAAATTTAAGAAATTTCAATTTTCGAAATTTTCGGATTTTTCACAAATTTCAGGATTTTCAAATATGAAAAAATTCAGAATTTTCAAAATTCTTGAAATCTTCGAAAAAAAAATTTTTCAACATTGTAGAAGTTTTAAAAATTTTCAGCTGTCAGAATTCTCAGTATTTTGAAATTTTATTCAAAATATTCAATGATTTCATAATTTTCGGGGTCTTGAGAAGTTTCAAAATTTACATAATTTTTAGTTCTGTTTTTTCCGCATTTTCAATTTTGAAAATTTTGAATATCTGGTGAATGTGAGAATTTTTTCAAACCTAATTTTTATTTTTACTGGATTATTACTGATTTTTCAGGCTTACCGAATACCGGCTCTTCAAAATTTTTAAGTCTGCTTTTTCAAAATTTTCAGGATTTTCAAAATTTTAACTTTCCAAAATTCTCAAAATTTACAGAATTTCTAGAATTTTCTAGGTTTTCAGAATAAAAATTTTTAAAATTCTAGAAGTTTTAAAAATTTTCAGTTGTCAGAATTCTTGGAATGTAATTTTTTGTTTCAAAATTCTCAAAATATTCAAAGACTTCATGATTTTCGGGGTCTTGAGAAGTTTCAAAATTTACATCATTTTTAGTTCTGTTTTTTCCGCATTTTCAATTTTGGAAATTTTGAATCTCTAGTGAATTTTAAAAATGTGAGAATTTTTTCAAACACAATTCTTATTTTGACTGGATTATTACTGCTTTTTCAGGCTTACGGAATGCCGGCTCTTCAAAATTTTTAAATCTTTGATTTCTCAAATTCTTCAAGATTTTAAAAATTTTCAGTTTTCAGAATTCTCAAAATTTCCAGAATTTTCTAGGTTTCCAGAATTAAAATTTTTCTAAATTCTAGAAGTTTTAAAAATTTTCAGTTGTCAGAATCCTTAGAATTCATTTTTTGTTTCAAAATTCTCAAAATATTCAATGACTTCATGATTTAAAAAGTTTCAAAATTTACATAATTTTTAGAATTGTCACAGTAGTTTTTTTCCGAATTTTCAATTTTGAATATTTTGAATATATAGTGAATTATAAGAATAATGTGGCAATTTTTTCAAGCCTAATTTTTATTTTGACTTGATTTTTACTGCTTTTTTAGGCTCGCCGAATACCAGCTCTAGGATACTTAGGCAACTTGGGCACACAAGTCCATGTCGGTTTCACTCACGTCGTCTATGGAAAACAGGATTATTCAAATTTTCAAAATTTTTAAATCTTCAAAAATTTCAGAATTTTAGATATTTTAAACCTCAAAATTTTCAGAACTTTCAAAATTTTCAGAACTTTCAAAATTTTCACTTTTTACAATTTTCAGAATCTTCGTAATTTCCAGAATTTTCATAATTAAAGTTTTTCAAATTTCTAGAAGTTTTAAAAAATGTCGGTTATCAGAATTCTTAGAATTAATTTTTTTTTCAAAATATTCAATGATTTCATGATTTTCAAGGTCTTAAAAGGTTTACATAATTTTAAATTAAAATAAGTTCTGTTTTTTCCGAATGTTGAATTTAGAAAATTTTTAATATCTAGTGAATTTTAAATGTTGTGGAAATTTTTTTGAACCTAATTTTTATTTTTTTGTTTTTCAAAATTCGCAAAATCTTCGAAATTTTCTTTCAAATTTTAAAATTTTTCAAATAAAATTTTCAGAATTCTTGGAATATAGAAAAACTTTTTTCAAAATTCTCAAAATATTCAATTTTTCCGTGATTTTCAGGATATTAAAACGGTTCAAAATTTACATGATTATAAGTTTTTTCTGAATTTTAAATTTTGAAAATTTTGAATATCTAAACCTAATTTTTCATTTTGACTAGATTTTTACTGCTTTTTTAGGCTTACCGAATACCGGCACTTGGTTACTTAGGCAACTTGGGCATACAAGCCTACGTCGGTTTTACACACATCGTCTATGGAATTTTTCCTTTCGACATGATCTTTATGATACTCGTGACATGCACTACAGTTCAATTCAAGATGCTCAATGAAGAGTTGAGGAGTTTATTTGACCGGGATTTGAGAAGTGAAGTATCGAACGACAAGTTTCGCGAAAGGTTCAACAGATGTATAAAGCATTACGATTTCCTACTCCAGTAAGTGCAGACAAATGGATAAGTAAATTGAACTGCTATCAAGCATTGTATGCTCAAAACGTTCATGAAAATATTTATTAAGATACTTATCAAACTATGCTAGCTGCACAGAGATGCTGCCACATCATCATCGTCCACTGTTAAGTAAACAATTGTTGAATTCCAGAAGCACGCTCAGTGTCTTCTCGATCGAAATCGCCCTTGAACGCGCTCCATATACGCGCAACTGTGGTTGCCTATGCGTCGGTGTTGCGAGGGCGTTTCATCGTTACCCGAAAGTTCTGGTTTAGCACAAATAAGAAGTTTAGAGACAATTGCGTTTGAAATATTTTTTGGTAGATGACACATGCAAATAATTTTAAGTAAAAATGGACTTGACTAGTCTGCCTGAGATACAGACGTATTTAATCGTGAGGTTGTTATATTTGAAATCGGATGAATTTTATGAAGCTACTTTTCTGCCTGTCAAGTATTCGGTAGAACTAAAATTTTCATAATTCTAGATATACAAAGACTATAAACGATAAATACTCGATACATTTAGCAGTGGTGATTTTTATATTATTTGGTTGCGATACCATGGAAATGTACAGGATTGCGAAGGCGTGAGTATTTTTTATTTATTGATCAACCACAAACGATATATATAAAAAGAGCTGCTGATTCAATCAACTAATATTGTGTTACAAGCTTGAATAGGACATTCTCTACTTAAAGAAAAATGTATGAGTTGATTCTCATATTTTTCACTTGTATGGAAAATATACTAAAATTCTGAAATCTTTTAAAATTTCCGTCAAAGGGATCAACCAATAACGTCTATTTTTTTATTCTGAATGCATACATCTTGGACCCAGATTTTACGTTTGAAGTTTGTAGGGCGAGTGTCGCCACTTGACATTCATAGAAAAAAAAAACAGAAACACTAGGAATGTCCTTTTTGGACGCAAAAAAATATGACTCGAATATTCCATTAACACATTTGACCACAATTTCAGGTCGACTATCGGAGCAGCTTTAAGATCATTTTTATTTGTAGTAGCAGGCGTGCTCCAAATGTTCCTGATGTGCTTCGCTCTACCCGCTCAAAAATTAACTGACGAGGTACGGTTTTTTCATATTCGAATACGCATATTCGTCTTCGATTTTTACTCACGTTTGCAGGCTAACAAAGCAGGCGAAAGTATCTACTTCAGTCTTTGGTATAATCACCCGGAACACGCAAAGCCTCTCGTTAATATAATAGCCAGAAGTAACAAACTAGTCAAAATTGTTCCTTGTGGCATACTGGAGTTTAGCTTGGAAAAAGGACTTGCTGTAAGTTAACAGCACATCTGAACTTTGCATTCGTTATAATTACGTAAAGAAACATCAATTCCTTTTTGGATCCTCTCCAAGACCTATTTTGATTGGCTGGTTCCTTTTAGGACGCCGAAATACAGTATATGGTTGGTTATCTTGTGGTAGAATACATTAGCCAATGGTATACTGCAAAATGATTATTTTTGCAGGTTATTAAGAGCATGGTATCATACGCCATGTTTCTTAAAACAATGGATAGTATGGCAGATGCTAAAGCAGCAATATAGTAAGGCATGTACATACGTTTTTAAATTTTATTTATATGTTATTTTTAGAATATAATAATGGACTATCCATTATAAATGTGTTTCGTAGACGTTAGAATATTGACAATAATTTTCTGTATTTGCTTTTGAATGGAATAATCAGTAATATCAAGCGGTGATCTTTTGTTTTTTTTACCTGTTCTTTCGAGTCCGGGAGTTTTGACGTCGATGCGGTTTTTCCGGTACCCGATATGCTTACCGTTTCGGAAACTAGAAACTCGGTGCCTTACGAACCAGTACGAAGCATCGCGGTATGAGAATAAAAAGTGTTCAAAGGTTGGAAAATTGGCCTGTTTCAGCATCTAACTCCTCCGAAGATAACGGAGCTACGGACCTGGCGATTTTTGCAAGAGAAAGCCCAGGCATCGGACATTTGGAACGCGCCTTTTTTATTTCTTTTCTTTTATGTCTGTCAGATTTACCACAAGCGCGCTTCTGCATCTTTTATTGTTCAAAATTGAAAATGGAAATTGATGGAGAAGGTTGATAATGAAACTCACATCAGCTTATACAGTCTTTTATTTTTTGTAAAGCTCTATCACATTCTTTGATTACATCGATTTTAAGAACTACAATTTTTGCTCCTTTATAGCTTTGATCTTCGGAACTTATTTTCTGGGAACTACCTTCGTAACTGTTTCCAGGCAACAAATCAGCAAACTCTACCTCTAAATTGTCATTCATTTCGATCGTACCAGCTCCTACTTCCTGTAAAGTCAGAGTATTATCAAAATATACTAAGTGACATATAAATCCGAACACCCAGTTTAAATGGTTTTATTTTAATAAAAGTTGGTGAATGTATTTATCTTACTGTAAATAACAAGTGAAACAATTTTCAGCCTTATCAGTTGGACATTGCGGTTGTTATACTGCTTTTTTTTAATTCACTAACGCTCTAAAAATAAATATTTCAGCCGCAGTAAAGAATCAACGTTGGCGGATTTTGGTTCTTGACATCCTTTACGATCGGTTACGATGCCTAGAGTACGGAGACCTGTACGATTTCGTCAACTTAGTGAGTTTGATAGGGGCCGTATAGTGGGACATCGGGAAGCTGGACTTTCTTTTCGGGCAATTGCAGTTAGAGTGCAAAGAAGTGTAGACACTGTGGTTAGGTGTTGTCAGGCATGGCTTCGAGAAGGCCGTACGCAAAGAGCAAGGGGCACTGGACGCCGCCGTAGAACAACAGACCGTGAAGATCGCCGCCTAAGATTATTGGCCTTAAGGGACCGTTTCTCCACTACCAGGTCCATTGCAAATGAATGGTTTGCAGAACACGGAAGACCTATTGGCATGCGAAGTGTTTACCGACGAATGAGAAGTTTTGGCTTGTTTTCATACCGGCCAAACTGGGTCCTCCCTTTAACTCGAGAACACCGACGTAATCGCCTTGAGTGGTGCAGACAACGGTCACTCTGGGATCAGGAATGGAACAGTATTGTCTTTAGTGACGAGTCTCGATTTTGTTAAGGCATGCACGATGGTCGTGCCAGGGTTAGAAGGCGACGTGGTGAAAGGAGGAATCCACACTGTTGGAGTTATGATTTGGGGTGCTATAGCTTATGGTTCCAGGTCACCTTTAATCTTCATCAGAGGTAACATGAACGCGCAGCGTTATATCCACGAAGTTCTAGAACCCCATCTTTTACCCTATCTTGACACCCTGGCAGATCCAACTTTCCAACAAGATAATGCCCGACCACATGTTGCAAGAGTCACAATAGGCTTCTTTCAACATAATGATGTCACATTTTTACCATGGCCACCAAGATCTCCCGACTTATCCCCAATTGAGCACGTGTGGGATATGATGGGTAGGAGATTGCTCAATTTGCAACGTCCTCCTCAGACTCTAGAAGCACTTCGAGAGGAGTTGGTGGTTGCCTGGAATGAGATACCACAGGACATTGACCACCTGATCAGAAGCATGCCTAGGCGCGTTCGAGAATGCGTAGCACATCAGGGTGCATCCACACATTATTAAAGGTCAAAGGGCTTTAAAGCAGTGCAATCATTTTTTATCATTTACTTATTATGCTTCATTAAGTACTTATACAAAATTTTATTAAAATAAAACCATTTAAACTGGGTGTTCGGATTTATATGTCACTTAGTATACATGGAAATTGGGTCCCAGTTGATTTGTCTTAAAATTCAGATTTTTCTAAATTTTCATAATTTTCGACATTTTCACAATTTTAAAATTGCTCAAATGTTTCAGAATTTCCAAAATTATCTTTCAAAATTTCCAATCTTCAAAAATTCAATTTTCAAAATTTTTAAACTTTCAAAAATACCAAATTTTCAAAATTTATGAACTCGAAAATCTTCAAAATTTTTAAAATTTTATAAAATCTAAAAATTCTCAGAATTCTCAAAATGATCATGTTATTCAAAATTTTGTTCAAATTTTCAAAATACTCAATATGTTCATAATTTCCGGTATTTTAAAAATTTTCCAAATTTAAATAATTTTTAGAATTTCCATTTCTCAATTTTTCAGAACAACCGATTTTTTAAATTTTAAAAATAGATTTTCAAGATCCTCGATATTCTCAAAACAGGGTTATCAAAATGTTCATTCTTAAAAATCATCAATTTTGAATACATATTTTCGAATATTCCACAATTTTCAAGATTTTCAAAAGTATCATAAATTTCAAAATTCTCAGATTTTTCAGAATTTTCGACATTTCCAAAATTTTCAATTTTTCAGAATTTCCAAAATTATCGGATCTTTTGAGATTTTCTTAACTTTCAAAATTTTGTAAATTTTGAAAAATAGGGTTATCAGAATGTTCAATCTTAAAATTTTCAAATATTCCATAATTTTCGACATTTTCAAAATTTACAGAATTTTCAAATTCTCAAAATTTTCAATGTTTTCATAGTTTTCGCGATTTTAAAACTTGAAAATTTTCATAATTATGAGTTTTCAAAGTTCTCAGTTTTCCAGAATTTTCAATTTTGAAAATCTTGAAAAATTTTAAGAATCTTAAATCCCGGGATAAGAACTGTCATAGCCTACTGTGAAATGCAAATGTAAAATGTCCACTAACTTGAGCATCACTCAAAGGTGTAATATTATCAGTTCAAAATCCAAAGGCTAATCAACCCTTAATCAGCACTTGGCTCTTAAGGGTGGACTAAAATTAATGTGGGTCAAACAAACATTCACTTACATCACCCTTCTCAGGAATATTTGTATCGCCAGGCTCTAATGTAACATCAGCCGTGCTTTCTGGTGAGTTTTCTTCAGAATAGCAAACTTGCAGCATATCTACAGGGACACTAGTTGGTAATTCTCTATTTACTACAATTTTATTTGCCTCAAAATCTTTCATTGAAGTTCTTGCACTCTCAGAAACATTACTTGACAAGTCGATTTCTTTCGTAGCCATATTACTTTCTTCTTCATTTGGATGTACTGTAATGTTAGTCTTGCATTTTTTTAAGGCGCTTTTGAGAGCAGGATTCAAGCCCGACATCGCGACAAGGTGTTTATCAGGTTTAGATTTGCCTTTGTCTTTTCTAGGCTTCCTTTCTGTTTTCGTTTCTTTTTTGTCCATATGGATATTTTGAACATGTCTTTTCATATATACCTGGAAAGTATAGATATAGATAAGATAATAAGACAGCACATTTAAAGAAAATTGCTATACTTAAAAATGAAAGAAAAATCACCCGTCAAATATTGCCAAAAAAAACAGAATTCGACACAAGTTACCTCTCTTACACTTATGAAAAGAACGTCCTACAGGAGATAAGTCTCTCTAAGTCACATTAAAAGAAGGAATACATCTATGCCTAAAAGAAGCTACAGAAAATCGGTTTTTTATATAATTTTTTAGAATTCACCATGAATGAACAATCCAGTTTTTAAAGATATAGTTTACCTTCTCTTTGAACGTCATCGAACAATCAGGGCATTCGTATCTTACTCCCGAGCTTTCATGGAAATGATTTATATGGAATAGCAAGTTTTTCTTATACTCATAACTCCTTTGACAATTCGAGTAATGGCACTTGAACGTCTGCTTAACTTCCGAGTGCACCTTAGAGTGTTGTTTCAAGTTGAAGGCAGTCGTGAAAGTCTTTTTGCAAACTGTGCAGGTATGAACTGAAAGAAAAAATTAGCGTTAACAATATTATGACCATTAATATATTTCAACAGAAGATGTCCAAAGTTGCAAGGTGTTTCCTAACTATGGTACGAAACTTTAGACGATGGTCGAAAGATCGTTTTAAGCACAGTCTAAAGTTGCTTCGTTTCTAAGACACAGTACAGTGAAGTTTAAAAAATAATAAACGGTATTTATAAAATATCATAAATATCCTTATGATTTGATTGAAATTTGGTGCGATTATTCAACTTTTTTTTCTTATAACGACCTAACGAATCACCATACAATGGTAGGAAATAATCTGCCATCATGCTTTACAAAAAATAAGTTCCTTCTAAAGGCAAACTAAAGTATGTTTTATTGCTTTTAAGGGAATAACTTTGATCCTACTTAGCAGCACAACAATGGCCAACGAAATTTTATATGAACCCACAAATACCGGATAAGGTGTGACGTCTTCTTAGAGAATATTATAATAATAAATAATATGACATAAAAGCCAAAAATGCATGTTCTTACCATTATTTTGATCACTGCAGTACCTCTTTTTATGTCTACGAAACATGTGCGAGCGATAAAAAACGACTCCACACGTGCAACTGTACGTCTTGTGTTGATACATATGTTTCAAGTAGTTTGTTCTAGTGGGAAATACCAAATTGCATTTTTTGCATCTGTAACATCAATTTTACATTTAGACATTTTACAGCGCAACTGCAATATACTACAAAAAGGTATAGTATTATCATAACAGACACTTCAAAATATAAATTTGGCACCATTTCTCAACGATTCAACTAACGGCCGTATCGTCAGTCGTTTCTACAATTTTATGTTGCGCATGTATCAACTAGAAACCAGGGAATCCGATTATGAAGGAAACGCACCAAAATTGTGCAAACGAAGATTTTATTCTCATTTTTTCCATGAAAATTATGAATATGTAATAGTAAATGTTCACTTCTTTATTCTGATAATATAAATAGTAATACAAACAAAATACCCTTCATGACATATATGAAAAAATAGTATTTCTAACAGAACTGTTTGAAACTTGCTCTGTTGTGAACTCAGAATAAATGTTATACATACAATATCAACAGCAAGCACAGTGTTTCCATTTACATTCGTTACGAGAAAAGCTGTTTAAGTTTGGCTGAAACAGAATAACCTTGGATGGAAAATTGAACTTACTTAATAGGACCAGGGTCTTCCGAATGCGTCGCCAAATGTTTCCTCAAAACATACTTTTTATAAAATCCTTGCATACAATGGAAACATTTATACGGGCCATTAGAGGAGTGGTACCTGTCTATATGCTTTTTCAAGTTATATTTGTCACTAAGTACATGTCCGCAGCCTGCTTCTTTGCAAATATATTCTTTACTTGGTTCATGCACCCTAGCTTTATGCCTATTCAGGTGATATGCCTGGGTGTATGATTTGTCACAACTCCCTATATCACATACAAAGGGTCTCTAAAAACAAGCAAATTGCAGCAGACTTTCAGATGGAAATACTTTCAAGCAACACCAAAAATCGGTTATAAACGTGCAAATAAAATAATGGAAATGTTTAATAAAATTCTATTTTAATGTCGAGACGTTGGACGCATGTAGGATTTTGTCCCTTGAGAAAATATGCTACCCTCTAAACAGCTGATTATCTAGTAATATTTCAAAATTCCCCATATCGACAAATGACAGATGATTCTGACGGATCCGTCAACGCCAGGTAAACAGAGCTATACTTTGTTTTGGTTTTTTGTACACTACAGTTTCATTTTGTACTTGCTAACATCCTTTTTATTTAGGAAAGTTCATTTGCCAGTTTTACTAAATTTACACCCGATTCAGTATCGCCAACATTTCAGACTGATACAAAGATGTCATTAACTGATCAGCTGTTCACCTCAGTAGACGTCAAAACGCGATGGATGACATGAAATAGGGTATAAAAATGTTGTGAAAAGTCCTACAGGCGCCCTTGGTCTATCAAACATTATTGAATGAAATGGGGAAATGATTTCATAAAAAAGTGACAAATGTTGAAGTCCTAAATACCTCTCCAGTGTGTTTCCTCATATGAAGTGTCAAATAATACTGCTTACTATAAGATGCAGTGCATCCTTTAAAAGAGCATCTAATTGATTTTTTAGAGGTATTCTGTCCATGTTCACTCTCATTTCTGAAAAGAAAATTACTATACAAAATATACAATGTGTATTAGGTACCAGAAAATGAGACTTTTATAAGATCAGCATCAAAACGATCCAACAGAAATCAAATCTCTGGGTATTAGAGCAAAAAAATAAATTTTGAATTATAGCATCTCCAAATGTTTGCCATTGCATTTTGCTCAAGATTTTAGGTCTTCTTGTGTGTGCGGAAAAACATATTTGGAATAATTAAAATGAATCCCGATCTCAAGTCTATGACGTTTTTGCTGAAGTCCCTACATTTTCATCATGGTGACATCTAACAATGCCTTGTGTACACCTCCTCCAATACTGTAAATTATAAATAAGATTTTCAGTTAAGAAGACTTACTCATGAAAATTACTGCCGTGTGAAAGAATATGATTCTTCAACTGGTATTTCTTCTTAAACTCTTTTGAACACTGTGAACAGGTATGTAAGGAGTGGGACCTAGTTTTATGCTTCTTCAAAGTAGAGCTACTAGCGAATGATTTCCCACAGTCTGACTCATCACAAACAAACTCATAACATTGCATATGCACAGTTTCTATGTGTCTTTTCAAGTGATAAGATTGCTGGAAAGACTTGTTGCACCCATCTACATCACATGGATAAGGTCTCTAAAATAATAACCCAACTGTGTTCATCAACTCTCATGAGGCTTATTATATTTATGTATTATGGAAACGTCAAAATGATATAATAAAAAAATATTATAGAACAAAACTGTACATTTCTAAAAGGATCATCGGACGGTGACCTTGAACCTTACTTTGGCCATAACCTTCAAAGTCACTTGAAGGTCAAAAACGTTCTTTTAAATGTAACACTGGAAATGTAAAGGGCGAATAATTTTACGTTAAACAATGTCTTTCTTCTATGACCTTTGCAATTACCGTCAAGGTCATTTGAAGGTCAAATTCTTTTTGGACAGAATACCGCAACTTTTGATTTCGGGACGAGGAATTTTACTTCCAAGCTTGTCTATGACCTCAAGGTCAAATAAACTGTTCTATATGAAACAATTTTCGATACTTTGACTTTCTAAACTTTGTGAAACCTTTAAATGACCCTAAATGTCACAGTCAAGGTCATGGACAAGGGCACTTTGTGAAAGTAAAAATTACTCTACATTTCTGCTGTCTAAATTAGTGATTTCCATTCAGGAAAACATCCTTGACCTTCAAATATCAACTTCAAGGTCACTATTACATGACCCACTTCAAACTTTCCACAACTTTTGTCACCAAAAATAAGTTTTTCGAGATATTTCAATATCCCCATACTTTTTTGATAATAGAAATACCAAAAAAAGAGTAGACCTGTTGGAGAGAACATGCTTAAAAAAATACATTTAAAGAATAATACTGATCTATCTCTTACTTTATGATGAAGCTGTGATGCCAAAGACATAAAAATGTCCAAGACTGCTAAAAAGATGTGAGAGATATGTGGTGGATACAAAGTTACTAGAACTAAAGGAAATAATCATCGGGTAATATTGTTCCACAATCTTGAACAGTCTATGAACAAACGATCTATTGTAAGCCAATGCTCGAAGTATGGAAAAGGCTCAGACATTACATGGAATTCACAGCTTCACATTGTGTTCTCTCCTATCCAAGAAAAGAGTTTACCTCGCCAGTGTGCTTGATTATGTGCCTTTTCAACAGGGAAAGCTTTTTATAAGAAACATTGCATCCATGATACGAACACTGATGTTTTCCAACAATTTTATTTTCTGAGTTAATTTCCGCTTCTCCTTCGTAGTCCGTCGTATCTGATGAGCACATTTCGGTAACATTTGCAGCTTTTTCTTTTTTCACGTGCGAAAAAGTGGTTATGTTTTGATTTTCATTATGTCAAACTATTGGCGTAAAAATCAAACTATTCTATTAGTCGTCGACGAAAAAAAGGCGCGGTTAAAGGCGGTTTCAAGTTGAAAAAAGGCGTGGTTTAAACAGACCACGCCTACTTTCCAAGTAGTCACAGCAGAAAAAAGGCGCGTTCTCATTTTAGAAGCTCCGCCTAGAATATGAGCGTGGTTTTCTGTTCGTTTGTTAACCACGCCTCTTTTCCAATACTAGAAAATATCGGGGAAAGTTCTTGTTTTGTCGATAGCGTGTCTCAACTCTTACATTACGCGTCTTCTATGATAACTGACGTTTCACGTCTGTCAAGTACAATTGACAATCTGACATGTTCGATGTTTCGTAGCCTTCGCCTTGTTGGGTTTCGTATGAAAAATCTTAAAAAAACAGCACGTAGTATCTATCTTTGGCGTTTTCCAAGTGTTCCCCAACATGTCGTACCTTTCTAGAAGGGACGTAGACAGTCTAAAGCCATCCGTAGACAAAGTGGTGTATAAAACACTGGGTAGCAGTGATTCGGCAGTGCTGAGAGTTGCTCTAGATTGCTTGAGTGGTGGCTATGATAAACGCAAAACTATAGACAAACTCTCATCGTATTTGGATAGCAGGAAAGCTGGTAAGCTCGCAGATAAAATATTCGATATAGTTGAGGATTATAGGAGTTCGCACAGATCGAAAAAAAGGAGTCACGATGACGACAAAGACAGGGATTCTAAACGTTCGAGAGGCGAAAAGGATAAGGAATTCAGCTCTCCAAAGACGAAGCCACCAGAAGAGAAGGAAAAGAAATCGTTTGAACCGCCTTCCAACAAGAATAACGTCAGCATTGCAAATTTGAGTATTCCCGCGCCTACCATGTACGGTATACCGCAAGGACTGTTAAACAGAGGAGATGCTGACAAGGCTCGCAAGATAGCCCAACTTCAAGCTCAAATCAAAACGAAATTGAACTCCGGAATCCTCGGAAATGCCATTCAGATCCCGATTCAACCCAACAAACCTGCACCGCTCATCCTCGATGAAGACGGAAAGACCATCGACAAATCTGGCAAGGCGATTCAGCTGACTCATGTAGCTCCGACTCTCAAAGCTAACATGCGCGCCTTGAAGAGGGAACAGAGTAGAGCAGGCGGTAGTGAGAAACAGCATGAAGAAAATAGCGAGACGAAATTCGTCGATCCGAGAATCGGCGTCAAACCGGCAATTAGGACTAAGCGGGCATTGAGGTTCCACGAGCCTGGCAAGTTCCAACAGTTGGCCGAGAGATTGCGCATGAAGGTGAGAAATATTTCCTTACTTCCATTGGTTAACAGATACTACCTTAAGTTTGCTGTCCTGATTCTACAGGGTCCGGCACTGAAACTTTCTTTTTTCAATGATACAAGGTGGCGCGACTGGAGCTAGTTGCAGCGCGTAAGCCTGTTTTGAGACAAAATTTTCCAGGGCGACTCATCTCCAACCGAGGTGACATTCCATGGCCCGCACGCTCGCCAGATCTAGCTCCATGTGATTATTTTCTATGGGGCTACCTCAAATCTAAAGTGTATAACAACCGTCCTGCAACCCTGGAAGAATTGAAAAACAATATTCGTTACGAGATGGCCAACATACCGAATGATATGCAGGAAAGGGTCCATGAACACTTCAGAAATCGGTTACAGCAATGTATCGACAGTAATGGTAGACAGTTGTCAAATATTCTGTTTAAAACAACTTGATTTCAAACTTCCCATATTACTGTCTAATGCTAAGACAAAAATGAATAAAAATGTGCAATATATATTTTTATTTTTTACCTATGAAAAAAAGGAAGTTTCAATGCCGGACCCTGTATGTTTTGGCATCTACGAGGGTGGGGTGAAAAGTTTTTTACTAAAACTTGATGTGTTTTCCAATCTTGTGAAGTTTTAGGATTCTTATAAACTTGTGTTTTTCTAATAAAAAACTAAATTCTTCCAAGTAAAATGATTTTGGGACCTCATAACTAAAATTGACTGAAAGTATGCTTAATTTTGTCAAAGATGTGTTCACAAAGTTTCAAAGTATTTATATACTAAGTGACATATAAATCCGAACACCCAGTTTAAATGGCTTAATTTTAATAAGATTTTGTATAAGTATTGCACTGCTTTAAAGCCCTTTGACCTTTAATAATGTGTGGATGCACCCTGATGTGCTACGCATTCTCCAACGCGCCTAGGCATGCTTCTGATCAGGTGGTCAATGTCCTCCTGTGGGATCTCATTCCAGGCAACCACCAACTCCTCTGGAAGTGCTTCTAGAGTCTGAGGAGGACGTTGCAAATTGAGCAATCTCCTACCCATCATATCCCACACGTGCTCAATTGGGGATAAGTCGGGAGATCTTAGTGGCCATGGTAACAATGTGACATCATTATGGTGAAAGAAGTCTATTGTGACTCTTGCAACATGTGGTCAGGCATTATCTTGTTGGAAAGGTGGGTGTCAAGATAGGGTAAAAGATGGGGTTCTCTCAACAAAAAACTGTGGATTCCTCCTTTCACCACGTCGCCTTCTAACCCTGGCACGACCATCGTGCATGCCTAAACAAAATCGAGACTCGTCACTAAAGACAATACTGTTCCATTCCTGATCCCAGAGTGACCGTTGTCTGCACCACTCAAGGCGATTACGTCGGTGGTCTCGAGTTAAAGGGAGGACCCAGTGTGGCCGGTATGAAAACAAGCCAAAACTTCTCATTCGTCGGTAAACACTTCGCATGCCAATAGGTCTTCCGTGTTCTGCAAACCATTCATTTGTAATGGACCTGGTAGTGGAGAAACGGTCCCTTAAGGCCAATAATCTTAGGCGGCGATCTTCACGGTCTGTTGTTCTACGGCGGCGTCCAGTGCCCCTTGCTCTTTGCGTACGGCCTTCTCGAAGCCAAGCCTGACAACACCTAACCACAGTGTCTACACTTCTTTGCACTCTAACTGCAATTGCCCGAAAAGAAAGTCCAGCTTCCCGAAGTCCCACTATACGGCCGCTATCAAGCTCACTAAGTTCACGAAATCGTACAGGTCTCCGTATTCTAGGCATCGTAACCGATCGTAAAGGATGTCAAGAACCAAAATCCGCCAACGTTGATTCTTTACTGCGGCTGAAATATTCATTTTTAGAGCGTTAGTGAGTTAAAAAAAAGCTGTATAAAAACTAACTTTTATTAAAATAAAACCATTTAAACTGGGTGTTCGGATTTATATGTCACTTAGTATAGTAAAAAATTTGATGTTGTAGGCTCAGTTAGAAAAATTGCAAAATGAGATATCCCAAATAGCAAAGAAAACGGGCATTTCATCTGCAACAAAACTTGCTCTGATTGCAAAATCCGAAGGACACACTGATGAAATACCGCAAATGGAGTGGTGGGATTCGGTGATTTTAGTTGACAATTTAGATACTATGGATGGAGATAAAATTGCTCTAAAGGAATCTGCTATCAATACGTTGGTAGAACATCCTACACAGATGAGGTGTCCAAGTGAGTATCAACAATTATTACTTACGACAAACACCAGTTTGAACCAGAATATTTTTTCAGTACAAATTATCATGTCTTCCCATTTATCAAACTTAAGCAATGGCAATTATAGAAATATACTTCCAAAAAGAATGTATGAAATAATTTTTTCTATCTTCTATGATCTTTTTTTCAGATGTGACGTCATATTTACTCTTCTTTCAAAGACAAAGCAGTAGAACATTTTATTACTCAGTCAGCTTTTGAGATGACATTCAGAGAACAGATTCAGTAATTCTAAACATATTGTTTAATTAAAGAATGTTAGAGCATATTTGTCAATAATTCCAATCAAATGATTTTATAAAATATAGATAATTTTTTTTTCTTAGCTGATCCTATCAAACCAGTATACATGCCAGTCTTCTTGACCAAAAAAGAGAGGAAAAAGCTGAGAAGACAAAATAGGAGAGAAATGTGGAAAGAAGAACAAGAAAAGATCCGTTTGGGGCTTGAACCACCCCCAGAACCAAAATTGAGGATATCCAATTTGATGAGAGCACTCGGTACCGAGGCCGTGCAGGACCCTACAAAAATCGAGGCTCATGTCAGAGAGCAAATGGCCAAAAGGCAGAAGGTTAATAAGACATTCTTCTTAATTGACACTGAAAACCCAGATACCTTATATTCACCAATACAACAAAAACGCATTGTTTGGAATGAAAAATCAATCAATGTTTGAAATAGATGGTTAAATAATTATGACTAATATTTTTAGGCCCATGAAGATGCAAACGCAGCCCGAAAACTAACGGCAGAGCAGAAACGCGAGAAGAAAATAAAAAAATTGAAAGAAGACACCTCGCTGGGTACGAACGTATCGGTGTACAGAATCGGAGATCTGCACGATCTGGCGTCGAAAAAGTTCAAGGTCGAAACGAACGCCAAGCAACTGTTCATGACGGGCATGGTCGTCTTGTACCCGGATTGCTGCGTGGTCGTCGTCGAAGGCGGCCCGAAGCAACAGAAGAAGTACAAGAGGTAAGTTGAGCTGCGGCCGTGTGTACGCTCCATCTTATCACGTTTGTTTCGTTTTACAGGAAGAAAATGGTTTAGTAATTTCGGAGGATTGTGACACGAATCTGCTGTTCAAGCGCGATGGAATTTCAAAGTTGGTATCACTGACTGCGGTCTGTCCAGAGCAATGAAACGTGCCATACGGATAAGGTAAAATTTCCGTTTTGTTACACTTGATTTTTGTGTTTTGTTATCGCGTGAAACATTTTAGTGAACAGGCGATGTTTGGTGAAAAACATTTTTTTTGTAAAATTTAAAAAATTAACTTTTCAGTTTTTTCAGACTTTTTATACCACAATTTTTACTTTGGAATTTACATTTTTTTTGTTGATATTTTTATAGCAAAACTAGATATGCGATATTTATCGGGAATCAATCGGAATAATTTTAAACTATTGAACAGGTGGATATCTTGGACATATTAAAATATTCGTTATCGGATTTTTTTAGAAATCCTTGATTGTTTAAATTTGCAGGTTGCATGTTCAAATATTTTGCGATACCTTACAAAGAACCACACTTATCTGATGATTCACAGCTAGATGAAAAACACAAAAATCTTAAGTGTAAGGTGGAAATTTCACCTTAAGGTTTTAGTTATTCTATTTTATATGTACAGGGTGAGTGTTTATTGAAGCATCAGATAAACTCCGTTGTCGTATTCTATTCAAAAGTCATTTAAGATGTTTAATTTTTATAGGACAGGCTCACCCTGTATATCTCTTAAAATTTAGAAAGAATAAAACGCAACGGCTTTATGGATTTATCATTTTTTTACTAAATATTGTAAAAACCTATTAGCGGATCAAATTTTGAGGTAACGTTTAAATGCCCCTAAATGTTCATACTTTCGGTTTAGGGTGTCCGCAAAGTTGGGGTTTTCCTTTTCAGAAACAACTACCCTTGAAATAACAAAGGTAATGTGTAGTAAAACTAGGGCGACCGAAAAAAAAAATAAATGAAAAAGTACTCACTCTCCAGTTGACGAGAAGGGCTAAGTACGTCTCTGCCCGAAATCATACCGCTCCAACAGAAAATGAAATCAGCTGATGCGCTACCGAGCAGACGCAGGCAAACAAGGAAGGCGAAATGTTGCGTAAAAAGTCTAGGTATTGCATCCCGTCCAATCGATTTGGGAGAATAAATGGTCCGATGAGGATACCGTTCACCATGCCAGCCCAAACATTCACCGAAAATGTTTGCTGAAAATGTGCCCGACGGACAGCCCCTCTTCACGCAGCGTTTGCCACACTTTAGTTTTTGATACTTGCACTTCTCTAGCCACGTCTCTAGTGCTTGTTGTTTTTTGAAAGGCAATCGATTATACGGGTTCGTTTACCTCTACACGCGTGACCGTAACCGTCGGTTGAAGGTTGCATACTGACCTGACACACTGACCCCGACCCAGTTCTGCCGTCGGGTTGAGACCTTGTACCAGTCGGGGATATCGCGGCGGGTCGCGGCTACAGGACGGTATTCAGATATTTTTGATGTTGCAGAGCCCTTTATCTCGGTTCCCTTAAGACATTGGTGTATATGGTACTAAGAAAAATTGCTTATGTTTTCAAGATCTACACGTCGTGTAAAGGAAAACCCCAACTTTTGTGACAAAAACGTGCGAACGTCATTTGAAACCGTGTAAATGCAACGTCAATTATCTCCGGAACTGAACTGTAGATTTCGTCCAAATTTCACAAAAACATGTGTCAATATGATACCTTGAACGTATAAGATTTTCCGATATTTCAAACAACAAAGTTAGATAACTGCCGATACTAGGAAGATTTTTGAAACATCAAAAAAGTAACTTTTTTCTCTCCGTCAAATACCAATTCTCAGATCTAACATGAACGTCTGATTCAACGGCATATATAACAATAAAACATCTTTAAAGAACACTGTGAATATTAGCTAAATAACTACTCTATTTAACCGTATTCTTTTTTCGGCGGTGAACCGATGTGCTTAGCATATATACAGGGAGAACTAAATTTGTTTGGCGGCTTGATTTCAATGTGTACGAGCGAGAATCGCGAAAAGTGTGTTAGCAAGAGATAGAAGCCGGCTGAAGAGCGAAGATCATCAGCACGTTGCCTAGCGACGGTGACGCTCATCGCCGCGTCAACATTGAGCTCGAGTCGCCGGACAAATTTGATTTTCGGTGTACATCCCTTACGCAGTTAGCTCTAGTCGTAGCAAAAGTAGTTTAACACATTGGCTGCCACGTCGGGCGTATAAATAGAAATTTACAGTATATCGTTTTGGGTTAGCCTCCTAGGAAGTCTAGGTAAATCTCAGCAGGAGCAGGCGATATATGAGGATCAGACTTTCAATAACAGTAGTCCTATTTAGCAAATGTGGAAACTAGAAAGTCTAAGTAATAATATACAGGGTGTAAACGTTATGATAGTCATTATTTAAAGTTTCATATAACATGGGGTCAAAACGCAGTGTAAATAAAGATGGAGCTTGTTATTTTTGGTTCTTAGGTATTATTTCATTGTTTGATAATGTACTCGTAAAATGCAAACAATTAAAAAAACGGACTTACCACTAGCTGTCTCGGCGCTTTACCTGGGGTGTGAAAGTTTATTGAATGTATTAAAAAGATCCACTTATAAATAGGGCAATTTTGATACATTGTTTTTCTTTTTAAAACCCACACTGCACTTTTTGGTATTTAAAGAAGATGTTCAAAATGTGTTTCTTCTTACTCTAGGTCCTCGAAGTTGTCCATTTATTATTTCAGCCGCATTAAAAATTTTGTCGCGAAGTAGTGCTTCAGTTATTATTGGACCAGCCCCATAAACCTTTAAGTTCTCCCCGATCCATCGGATTGAGGTCAGGAGAACTTGCTGGCCATTTTCGAGGATCAGGAGCCTTTCGACAGATCCAGCAATTTTGATAATGTTCATTCAAATACTGAATGACGCCTGTAAAAATGTTTGGTGGTGCCCCATCATGAAGAAACCGCAAATTCTGTCTCCGTTACCGTTTGCGATCGATTGCCGGTTCGATAAGAGTGATGATGAGCGACGCGCTGTTGTCATGTGTGTTTTAAATATTCAATACAATGAAACTTGAATACTTACTGACTACAAATTTTGGCTTAACTTAGAAAAACTTAATGCCATTTATTTGTTAATTACCCAATTTAAAAACGTTTTAGATTAGATTATAAAAATTAGTAACACTTTTGGACCACGGGTCATATGAACTTTTTGATTTGTTTTGTGCTTCGAACAAAAAAAAACAGAAACGAGTTATACTTAATCAGCTTTATTCACAAAAAACTAAAGAACTTAACAAAGTAAAAGCTCAACTACAAAATAGATTCGGTAACATTATTTTTTTTTATTGGAAAGAAATTTTTACAAACACGTGGTCAAAGGATTCATAAAAAATTTGAACGTCCGCTATACAGGGTGACTTTGAAGTTGAGTCATTAATTTTCAGATAATGATTGTAGAAGGAAGATAAACCAAAATATGTGTGTAAAAATTAAAAAAAATGTTACCTTGTTTTATAAAGTATTTCAGTGCGGACCTGTATTTGATCGTGAGGTCTTGGAGCACCGGCATGCTTCTCCTGTGAGGTCTTAAGTCACCTGATTCACGAGCCCGTTGTACTACATTAACAAAGGCACGAGGGGTTGGTTGCACTCGATTGGGAAACCGATCCGCATAAACGTGTGCCATTTTTTATTTCGTTTGAGCCGCGCAGCGAACACCACTATTCACTCACGCGTTACCGACTGACACATCGACTGATTAAAAACATCGTGATCAGCGTTTCAAATTCTTTCGCTTTTTTGTTTCCGATGCGATGAACCGATACGGCGGATTATATCCGTTGTTGCCAAACACGAGCACATAATATTATTATTGAGACAGGGCGGTACTCAAACTTCTAAAGGGCTATAACTTTGACACTTTAATTTTACCACAAAAATGTTAAAGGAAAATCATTTCTTTTGATCAGATCTACTCACTGTTAAAATAAATGACTCAACTTCAATATGAGCGACAATTACCTAAAGAGATTATAGGAATATAAGCTAGAAAAACTAGTAACCAGTTGCAAAAAAAGTATGCTTATACAACATTTCACTGATATTTTCATAAAATTTTGTTTGCAAAGTAAAGCGCACGGCGCAACAAGTTTGCGAACGTAATCCGCATTTTCGTAATCTCGACCGCGTTCTCTTGCAGATTGATGCTCAGCCGGATAAAGTGGGAAGAGGACATGGTCAAGGACCCGGACGGCAGAGACGTGCCCAACAGGTGCGTGTTGGTGTGGGAAGGTACGACGAAGCAGAGGAACTTCGGGGAGATGAAATTTAAGGTGTGTCCGACGGAGAAACTGGCACGGGAGCATTTCAAGAAGCATAAGGTCGAGCATTACTGGGACCTGGCGTATAGCGGGGCGGTCCTGGAACAAGCCAACGATGCTGTGGAGTAAATGTGGCGTTATGTGAATGTACTTTTGTCGTATGATCATTGTAGATTAATTTTTAAGATAATACAATCTTGGTTATAATCTGGTCGTTTCATTTTATTTCCTGTGCCTACGAGTATTGGATGATATGTGCCTTGTATATTTCACTCTGTCTGTGGGTGTGTCAGCTAAGTTTCTATCCGCCTTCGGCTTGATAAATGCCGCTCGGATTTTGATGAAATTTTCATACAATGTCACAGAAGAAAAAGCTTTTTATCCGGAGTTAGAGCCAAAAACACGAAAAAAAATCGCTTATACTAGTTTTTTTACGTTTCAAATGTTGATGACCATTTTCGGAGTTTCTTTTGGGGGGTTAAAATGTAACGCCCTAAGTACAGGGTGCGTCAGAAAGAACGCATGTTTTTTAACACGTTAAGCGCGAAGAAAAATGTCCATCATGCCAAAGCGCGAAAGTCATGTTTCCAACAAATAATGCGTCTAATCTACGTCCAAAGTTGACACAAGACGGGAACGACATGTACTAAAAAAAAAGGGAAAATCACATGAAGTCAGACGGTATTGTAAAGGATGTTATGATAAAAAAATAAGGGGTGAAATACCAAATAATAAAATCACAAAAGTTACTAACTACATATTGCGACAGTTGTGAAGAGAATACTTTTGCTTTGACTGTTTCGGAACAAGACATAAATAAATGAGATTATCTTATATTGTGTATCCCTGTATCATAATTTATTTTATATGTACAGGGTGGCGCATCGAAAACGAAACACAGCTCTGTTTTTTTTGGAAAAACGCTTAGACGCGTCGATTTTGTTTTCGAGGGGGACACAAGTTTGGCCAAAAAACACGGTAACACGTGCAGCCCCCTGGGCGGGGTGACACCAACCCTAAAATCTTAAATGGAAAGGGGGGTCGAGTGATACCTCATTTTAAAGGTCTTTCAATTCCCTTTATAATGATGTAAAATACATGAGCTTCAGTTCAGTAGTTTTGAAGATTTGTTGATTTAAAGCTTAAAGTAGACTTTAATAGGTACATCAGATTAGTTTGTACTACTTTCAGAAGAAATTTGACTATAAGAATTTACTTAATAAGTACATGCTTTTCTTCACTACGCCCATAGTTTGTTTATCATTTTGTTGTTGAAAATAGCTATTGCAGCGTTTTTTTTTTGTGGCAAAAAAGTTATTTCTTGAAGAAAGATAAGGAAATAGCTCGTACTTATTTTAAATAGGAATTTAGTACATAGTTTGCGATTGATTTGATCAAACTTTGGTGCTAAAATAACTTGTAACGCTTTATTGCATAAATTAACCATGGTATATGCCACAGCAGAAAGAGTTGAAATTATCGAAATATTTTTTGGAAATAATCAGTGCGCTAATAGAACAGCAGAAATATTTAATGAACGACATGAACAGTAACGTGCATCGAAAATATGTTCTAGAACTGGTCTAAATTTTGGGAAACTGGGTCAGTCGCCAATAAAAAACGCAACATTGAAAATCCCATAAGGAACGAAGCAATAGAAGTGGGGGTTTAGGACAAGTTTATGTAGATCCTACGTTAAGTACCCGCAAATTGTGTGTGGTGTTAGTCGACGTACTGTCCAACGGATTCTAAAGGACCATAGTTTGGATCCCTAGGGAACTGCAGTGTGTCAACTCTTACTCTGTCTACGTTTTTGAGGGTTCTAACAGCACGGTTTCGCCCAGGCAGTTTATTCTTCATCACATTACCTGTTGTGTTAAATGCTTCCACCCATCTCAAACTGGTGTTACGGTCTGGTACTGTCCCACGACGTGGAACACGAAAGTGAACGCGAAACTCACGTTGCGTTCGAACAACGACAGACTCGCCATTTTGAAAGTACCGACGTACAGTGAACTCACGATGCTCAACGTTCCAAACCATCTTGCCAACCGAAACGGCACTTTCTGACGCACCCTGTAGAAAGTCGATATGACGTGGATATGACGTCTATCTGAGATCGATATGACGTACAGCCGCTCGCAAAAATAATCGCGCGGTGTATCCAAATGCTACTGAAAAATTGAGGATGTGACAACGACGCCTCACAAACTCACTGCAAGAGTGGTAGAAAGACGCCGAAATTCATATTCTACTCACCTACCACTTTTGAACACTCTCGTTCCGAGACACCTCCGCAATTTTTCATGAGCATTTATACAAAATGTATCAAAATGGCTGATAAATAACTAAAAAACACCGTTTCATCTCAAACGCGTTCCAGTCCTCCGATGATTCAGAATTTGTTTGTAGCCATTTATCAAAATCGCTTTGTTTCCTAGACGTCTCCCAAGCCTAATTGACTATGCGTCACTACTAAATTGTACCACAATGTACGTCAAAATCAACGTTATTTACGGGAATAAAACATAATGTAAAATGGCAATTTGAAATGTCTGAACCCGAAATATTATTATTAGAAAAGTCATATTAACGAGATACTTTTGATCGAAGAATTCCTTAATCCATTAAAAGTCTATAATTTCATTAATTTCTTTGTAGGTAAGTGTTGATTTTTCAGCACTGACTGTCCTATAAAGACGTCAAAATGACAGCCTTTTGAAGGACGTCTTGCTGTCATCATAAAAATAGCATCAATAAAAACGTTATTTTTTTAGTCAATGACGTTTCCGACCAAAAGTGTCCTAATAATGACGTCATTTTCACTGGGTTGCTTACCAGGGACTTGCTAAAAACATATCTGTACTTTTATGCTTTGAGAATCACGATGCTTTCGATTTATCACCGAATTCTTGCACAGACCCTTAAATCCAAAAACCATACCAATTGTCCGATGTTACGCCACTGTAAAGTGGTATGGTGACATAGGCAACCACTCATTCAGAGAGCTGAGTTTAGTGTTGCCAAACCACCAAGGGTATACAAAATTTCGATTTTTTTTAACTGAAAACTAAAATGCAAACAACAAAACGTCCACTGAAAGTGAAAAATTCAGTGTTTTGTCACAACAGTCATGGAAATAATGGTATTAAACGTTGCACTATAAATTTCAGAAATATGATTCTTCGGGCAATAAAAGGCACCTATAAATTTATACTTAAAAAATAACAGATCTACTAAAAGTTCAAAACTTTCTAAATCTAGACAACTAAAGCCTGTTCTAGTATACATCCACCACGTTATTATCAAACGTTTTTTTATAGTTTCCATCGATCTCCCTTTCAGAATTAATTCACAAAAACTATAAGCAAGATAAGAAATACATGAAACGATAGAAGGTAGACGAAAAGCCTTGCTTTGTAATGACCATTATCCTACAAAATGACCGCGAGCCACTTGGCCTTGACCGCACCTGAAGAACAAGAAAAGAAGACGAAAGTTTGAAGAATTGTTTGCCGGCGTACTCGCGTTTGATTGGTTGACACCTCTCTATCATGCCAGATTCCCTCAGCGTACACGTTACGTCAAAACACTATTATAGAAACCAGGAACTTAACGAAACGTAATTAAAAAAGAAAAGCTCTTTGGTCAAAACTTTATTCAAAAGCTCCAAATGTTATCTGTCATTCAACGAAGCGGGCTAGGCGGCTGGAACAAGCGACAATCGGCAACAACAGACAGCAGCATCCCCTCTATTGTTTCTGTTGACAGCGTCGTCGATGCCGCGAGTAGTGATGGGTGGAAGCGAATATTTATGTATACGAATACTCGTTTCTACTTCTGGAAATCTAAATGTACTTCGACTTTAGTATGGTCAGCTTCAGTTTGAAATGCAGTAAGCTAGGATGTATATTTGCATGTATTCATTGAAATTCAGCGGTTGCTCCAAATCACATGGAACTACAGATACAAAACTAGTTCTTCTGAAATCATAGGTTTTCAAGAACGGAATAAAAAATATATGAATATCATCTACTTCGAGGCCCACATAAATTACGCTCCACTCAAGTGTCTCAAGTTTTAATTATTTATAAAACGGAAATTTGTCACTGCAAAATGCTATGTTCTGAGAAAATTTTCCAAACGCTTTGTGTATTTGCATGGGCCCCGCAGGAGTTTTTTTTAGTGGAGGGAAGGCAGCGTCATCGGTAAGAGATACATTTTTATGGAATTCGTCAGCTGCAGAAGCGCTGATGAGAGAACACACGAAACCATGTTAAATATGCAAATTTTAAGGGTCAGCTGGATTCTCAAAGGATTCCCATGCGTAAGTGTTATCCTTATAAATATACGCTTCTTGGGGAAGTCGGATGTGTGGGCAACGAATATATCCATTTCTATCGGACCTATTCGGAACATTTGTGGAGTAGTTCCTCGTAAAACTTTCAACATTTTTAGAATTTGAACACTCTGAGAAAATTTAGTATCCGCTCTTCAAAAAGCTTTGGGTGCAGGTGCATTTTCACAAAAATCCCTACGGGCCCCAAAGTAAAGTATTCGAACATGCGGCAGACCGAATACTGATTACTGGAGTATTCGCTGCGGCCCATCCCTATCCGAGACCGATCTCCGGCACTTTTCTACTCGCAAGTTTCAAGTCGCTTTTTATATGCCAGGCAAACAGCGCAAAGTCACGCTAGTGGAAGCGCTACACGCCACACCACGCCAGTTGAAGCTCCGCGTGTAAATATATCGTAGTAGGCAAGAAACTACCGGCACCGGCTGCTCCAAATTGAAAGCTCGAGACGTGGCAAGCGAGTCTTGACCGCCGGCAAGGCAAAGATCGCGTTGGCCATGCCGATGGCCGCCTGCTCCTGTCTCTGGAAAAAGGAATGACGCGGGGAGGGGGACGCACTCGCAGCGTCAGGGGAGGCCACGACTCGCTATTGATTTTTGGGGTGACACTGTCAACGCCGGCCGCAATGGAAGACTTCCAATCGAAAAAAATGTACACACGCCGGGAGTGTTTAAAAAATTAACGATTCTTCTTATTCGGCGTCCTCTCGCGTTCATGCCGCACGAAAGCATCGCTCGCCGATCGCCGACAGCATCTCCGCAAAGTGGATTGTTTGTGTTTTGTGTTCAAATTTGACCGCGAGTGTTATGTGTGTTTCGTCGGATAGAGCCATAGCGCGGCAGTCGGCGCG